AAAATTAAACTGCTGAGATTCCATCTCACTCCAGAAAGAAGGGCTAGTACCAAGAAATCAACCAATAACAAATGTTAGCAGGGCTGTTGGCATAAGGAACCCGTCTCCACTGTTAGTGAGAATCTCGATTGGTGTAACTACTGTGAAGGTCAGTGTGGAGATTCCTCAAAAACTAAGATTACAGGTTCCATTTGACCCAGATATTCCCCTCCTATCTTTCCAAAAGATTAAAATCATCACACCACAATAATATATGAATACCCATGTTTATAGTAGCACAGTTTGTATAGCTTAATCATAAACAGCCCAAATGCCTGTTAGCTGCTGAATGGATAAAGAATGTAATTCCATGGGGCTGGGGATTTAGCTCAGCGGCATAAGCGCCTGCCTTGCAAGCAGGCAGTCGTGAGTTCGATCCCCGCTACCGATAAAAAAAGAAAAAGACCAAAAAAAAAAAAAAAAAAAAGTGATTCCTTTATGCAGTGGAGTACTACTCTGCCATAAAGAAGGATAAACTTGAGACATTCCTGGATAAATGGAAGCATCCTGAGACCATTCTCTTAAGTGAAATAAATTGGGCACATGTGTAAATGCTGCATCGTTTCTCTGATGGGAGACACCAAAAGTGTAAATGTGGATCAAAAGTATAGGTATTGTGAAACAGGAAGAAAATTTTCAAATGGGGAGGGGAACAAGAGAAAGGGGAGGAGAACACAAAGAAGATAAAAGTATAAAAATGAGAAAAGGAGGAAAATATGAAAACAGCTTTTATCAATGGCAAGGGAGAGTAGGGGATCGGGGGAAAACAAGTTATACCATGTATAGGTACAAACTCTCTATGATGAATGCAATCATTATGTATGTCTAAAATGTGCCAATAAAATAGGATTGGAGAAAAAAGAAAATATTGAACATAAAATAATTATAAATATAAAGAATATGGTTACCTTCTAGGTACATTAACCACAGATGCATCACATTTTCTTATTTTTTGAATTCTTTTTTTTTTTTTTTTTTTAGAGACAGGGTCGCACTATATTGCCCAAGCTTGAGTGCAGTGGCTATTCACAGGCACGATCCCACTACTGATCAGCATGGGAGTTTTGACCTGCTCCGTTTCCGACCTGGGCCGGTTCACCCCTCCTTAGGCAACCTGGTGGTCCCCCGCTCCCGGGAGGTCACCATATTGATGCTGAACTTGGTGCAGACACACGATCAGCATAGCGCACTGCAGCCCAGAACTCCTGGACTCAAGGAGCTCCCGAGTAGCTGGGACTACAGGCGTGCGCCACCACGCCTGGCTATTTTTTGAATTCTTAAGCTTAGTGAAATACTGGAGAGGGAGTACATTTTAATGTATTTCAATGCCTGACAGGTATATGCACGTATGTATAGACATACATGTATATATACATACACGTATATGTGATGTGTACTGTATGTAAAAATATATTTTCCCTATAGGTTATATGTACTGTATGTGAATATATAATATTTTTCCTATTTGTCAATAAGTTCCTTGGAGATAAGTATCATGTTTTCGAAGGTACTCTAAAAATAACAAACCCAGTGCCTTGCATAGAAATGTCCCTGGAGCCAGGTATGGTGATACATATCCATAATCTCAACCCTCTGGAGGCTGAGGCAGGAGGATTGCTGTGAGTTTAAAGCCAGCCTAGATTACACAGTGAGTTCAAGGTCACCCTGAATATCGTAATGAGACCCTGTCACAAAAAAAGTCCCTAAAATAAATAAATATATACCTATGGAATAAAGAAAGTAATACACATCTTTGGTCTTTCAGGATATAATAAAAATAGGACGTGGGGTATAGCTCAAGGGAAAATGATTTACCCACTGTGTCCAAGGTCACAGGTTTGGTGTCAGCACTACTGAAAAAAAGATAAAGTACAGTGAAAATTGACAGTATGATTAAGCACATTTTGGTAAAAACATCCAGCATAAACTCTACACAGGCACTGACCATATGACTTGATAACACCTATTTAGGGGGCTTGCTTTTTTTTGAGAACTAGTTAAACTTCAGTGACTTTCTACTTTTTATCTTTTCTAGACAGGGTCTCAATATAAAGCCCAGGCTGGCCTCAGACTCATGCAATTCTCCTGCCTCAGCCTCTCGAGGGGTAGGATTACAGACATGTGCCCCCCTGCCCAGTTTAAACTACAGATCTGAGGGTAATAGATGTAGTTATAGGAAGCTGAGCAAACCAGTTTCAGAATTTTAGATATAAAAGAAGTAACAGTGTTGTTCATTTATAGCCTGTTGCCCTAGGCTGTACGTTCCATGAATAACTTGCTCATGTAAATGCGAATGATGCGTTGCTCATTACTGTAGCAAGTTCTCTACCCCAAAGGAGGTTTGTTCTTCATCTAAAGGTCCATTTGCTATCATTCTATTTTCCTAGAGCCACTGAAAATTCATACTGTCTGTTATCCACATATTCATTAACTTGCAAGTATTTATCAAGTGCCCGCTGTATGCCTGGCACTGTTCTTTGTGCTGCAAATCCAGCAATGGAGAAACAAAATCACTGTGCTCACACACAAGGCCCTGATTTCAGCCCCCCTCCCCTCACAAATACACACACACATACACAGAAACATTTGTGGTAAATTTTTTCTAGGAAGGATATAGACAATAATCAAGATAAATCGGTAAAATCCAGGCCTGTATCACAGGCCCATTGTCTCAGCCCTTTAGGAGGCTGAGGCAGGGAGATCACAAGTTACAAACAGCCTGGGCCATTTAAATGACTTAGTGAGCATAAGGCTTGATTTGGACTCTGCCGGTACCAAACCTGTGTGCCAGCAGAGGCATTGTTCTTAGCTTGGCTCTGGGATGCCCTTGGCAAATAGAGGCTGTCTTAAAAAGGTGAGATTGAACACTGACTCTTGCAAGCACCAGATGTCCGCAAACAAAAATAAAAATCAAATCAGTACAATATATAATAAACTAGATAATATGAAGTGCTAACAGAAACACAAAGCACAGGAAGTGGATATGAAACATGAGAAAAGAATAAAACTTAAACAGAATGGCCACTCTCTTTTTACATGGAGAGGAATTTTAAATAGAAGGACATTCGCATTAAGTCCTGAAGGGAGTGAGAAGTTAGTCCTATGGGTACCTAGAAAACAGCCTCTCAGGCAAGGAGAATCTCAAATTGCAAAGGCCTTGGGGTGAAACAGTGCTTGTCATATTTCAGAAATGTCAAGGAGGCCAGGGTGTCCCTGGCAGGTGGAGACAAGCACTGACATGGTGATCAAAGACAGGACTAGAGGCTAGGTCATAAAGGACTTGTAGTCATTTAAGGGTTTTCAAGCCAGGACTGATATGATCTTACATGTTAGCAGGATTGTTGCCATTGGGTTTGGAGAATAGAATTAGTGGGACACAGACGGGCATAGGGAGGTCATTTAGGGTGTCCTCCCTGTAATTCAGCCGAGAGTGATTCAAAGTGGTACCACATAACTGGATTCTGGATCTATTTTGAGATAGTACTCATAGCTTTTTTCTAACAGAACGTGAGATTATCCACTTTTTGAGATAGTTAAATGTCCAGTTGGGTGTCATGATACATGCTTGTGATCCCTGCACTCAGGAGGCTGAAGCAGGAGGAACACCACAAGTTCAAAGCCAGCCTAAACTACATAGGGAGACCCTGTCTCCAAAAGAAGTCCCCCCAATTATTTTTCTAAATGATGAAAAAAAAACCCAATTTCTCACAAGTTCAGCGTCTTTTAATGTATTATACTCCAGACGTTGACCTTTCTTTCATTCGGGAGGTTAGAAACACACCCCAGGGCAAAGAAAAGAGACTGCCAGCACCATCTTCCAAGCTCCTCCTTGACTCTGCGACTCCGGCTCTGTCAGGCTTATTTCATTTCCCTAGATGTCCTTGAGTCCTGACTCAGAACCCTGACTCAGAACACACTGTGGAATATATTGTCTACATTTCCCAGGGCCATTGTAAAAGATTCGGTTTTCACTTTCCTTAAAGTGAAAACGATTGCAGTAGGCAGCCGTTGTTTTCTTTTCCATAGTTTGAGTTTTCTGTAGTAACTGCAACCTGAAAATGTGAAGCAGAAAATATGAGAAGTACACAGTTGATAAGTTTTGAGTTGCATGGCCTCTGAGCACCAGGATGAAATCTTGAGGCATCACACTGGGTCCTGCCCTGGAAACACCCCTCTGTGCGGCACATCCAAGCTGTATATAATTGCGGCTCTGGTTAGCCCATCAGCTGTCTTAACATCAGAGCACTATGTTCAAGTAACCCTTATTTTAGTTACGAATGGCCCCAAGGGCAAGGGTAGCGGTGTTGGCAGTACTGTTACAGGAAATGGTTGTATTATTCTCTTGCATTATTAGCTTTTGCTGCCAGCATCTTACTGGGCTTAATTTGTAAATTGTCATCATATGCGTGTGTGTGTAGGAAAAAATTGTACCACGCGCGGTTCAGGCAGCCCCTGTGGGTAAGAAAGGGACTGTAACGAATTGAGAAGTAACATTTAACTCCTCTCAAATGCACAATCCCAAGTTAACGCCTATATTTCAGTATAAAAAACTGTATGCTGGCGCGCTATCCACTAGTGAATGTTCTTGCACTAGTAAACGTCTTGCAGCTCGATCTCAAATTGTAGCTTTCCGGCACTATGAACATTAACTGAACGGCAGAGGAAACTGGGCTTGCAATGCACAGCCTAGTATTCGTATCTCCTGCAGCCATAGCGAAATTAAGCCCCTTGAACGGACCGCAAACGTTCTTTGGGGACCCTCTCTGAACTCGGGTTCCAGGCTGGTCCACACATCCAGGCGCTCTCCACGCTGTGTATGCCGGGAGTTGTAGTTCCCATCTCGCCCTACGAGCCGAGTTTCGGACTCACGAGCGCCCCCAGAGGCGCGCAGGCTGGGTGACGCGCAGCGTGCGTGATGGGAGGGGGGAGGACGTTTCCTAGCAACGAGGGCAGCGGCGACGTCACGCTGGCGGGCGCTAAGTGCGGCCGCAGCAGTGGAGCAACGGAGTGCATCTCCTAGCGCCTGCGGGTGGAGGGAGTGTCGCTCACAGTCCGGTGTCCGCACTGTTCTGTCTGCCTGTGTCGCCGAGTGCAGCTCCGCGCACCGCCACCGAGGCTTGGGAGGGAGGCAGTCCCGCCGGCTCTCGACCCCGCGGAGTCCACCTCCCGGCCCTGGCGGGACGATGCTGGAGTCCATTCGCGTGACGGGTGAGTGCGGGAAGCGCAGGCCGAGGTGGCTGGGGTGATTGGGGGTGATGGAGGTGGCCTGGAGACCAGAGGTGATGGGGGTGCCGACAGGCTCGGGTCTGCGCCTGGACTGTATGAGGTGCCGCGCGGAGAGAGAAGAACCGGTCCCCTCCTGTCACTTAGGTTCCGCGGGCTCTGCCGCGGGTCTGAGGAGCGGACGTCCCGCAGGGTGTTGGCGCTTGTTCCGAAGCACAGGCGTGGGTCTGGGCGTTATGATTTTCTAGAATGTTCAGACAAAAACAGAGCTAGCTAGGCAAAAGAACACACCTCTCCACTCGAGTGTCTGCACTGCAGGCATCTGTGTCCACTCTTAATCGCAAACCCTGAGGACGTTTTAAGTTGATACTAAGAGCATAAAGCTGGTTAGAGCCCAGCGCTGAAAGTTTGCTTGTCATTTACTATTTTCATGTAACTATACATAGACATTAAAAATTACAAATTAAAACAATTACCTCAAATGTTTTCCCATCATCTGATTCCTAACTAGAACGTTTGTGTCGTACAGTTTCATGTAAAGAACAGGTAAAAGGGAGATATATAATCAAAATAGTGTAAAACAAGGTCAGACTTTCTAACTTTAAGGCATCGCAGTACTTAATAAATCATGCTTTCCATGTGCATTTTAAATTGGAAAGTGAAATTCCTCCCCAATGAAAGTATTTATAATTTTAAGTGTATACTGTTATTTGATAGTGTTTTAAAATACAGAGCTGATTCTGTGCAGTCGTGAGACTGCTGTGATTTCTCTTTGATGCTGACAGGAAACAGAGACAGTTACAGGAGCTAAGATCTGAAGTATCTTGAGTTGCCATTAGAGTTTTTTAAAAATAGACTGGTGTAGATACTATTCTTTCATCTTAAAACAGAACAAAAGTTACTTTTAAAATGCCATTTCTTCTTTATGTCATGGGGAATTATTAATACTGGGCAAGACAATTTGTCCTAGATAGTTGTTTGATAATTTGACTCACCCCTTCTACCAGTTTAATGACTAAAAGTTCTTCAGGTATTGCTAAGTGATCCATAAAGGACAAAACTGCCCTCTGTGTTCCCATTGAGATACCGTCTTGGTATAAAATGTAATGACGTTCAATCACAATGCAGGTTGCTGGGTTTAGAAATCACTGATTAAAAGCTTTTGCAAAAAAAATCAATTGCCTGAAGTATAACAATCATTGTAGAGAGAATATGATTAAAATAGTCTTAGTATTAGAATACAAATAAATATTCTCATCAACTAGTCTGTAAGACAAAGTAGATTTCCTGGTATTTCAGTACATGTAATTGGAAGTTTGAGGAGAGATATAGTACTTTATAGTGTACCCCATCCTATTAACTCATTCTCTTCTCATAATTTAATGGCAGTATACTTATCAGTTACACTCAGTGTTGTATGCCCTGACTTAGGAAATTTGGCAATGAATTTTGATAGTATGATAAAATTTAAATTGCTATTTTTTTGAGTCAGGGTCTCACTATGTATTAAACTGCCACTTGAGACTGTTCTAGCTTCAAATTTATAGTCCCTTTAGAGGCACACCTGTAATTCCAGCTACCTTGGAGGCTAAGGTGGATAGAGCATCAGTTTAAGGTCAGTCTGGGCACTTTAGCAAGACTTTATCTCAAAAATTAAAAAAAAATAAAATAAAAGGATGTGGGAATGTAACTCAATGATAGACAGCTGGCCTAGCATGTTCAAGATCCTGGGTTCAATCCCCAGCACTGGAAAAACAAAAAGAAACCTAGTGGATTATATTTAAATAGTTTGTCTTTTCCTTTATGTAGTACCTTTTTTTGGTCTTTTTTTCTTCTTCTTTATATAGGGCCTCACTGTGCAGTTCAGGCTGGCCTCGAGCTCACTTTCAAGCCCAGGCTGGTCTTGAACTTGCCTCCATCTTCCTGCCTTAGCATCCTGAGTGCTGGGATTATAGGCAAGCGCCACCACATCCGGCTTTCTTAAAATAGTATTTAACTAGTTAAAATAGTGCTAGAGCATTGTGCTCAGCATTTCACTGAAATAACAGGAAACCCAGTTTGGACAGCCTAACACCATAGGATAATATTTTAGCTGAAAACCGATAGTCCTTTTTCTTGGTAGTCTTTGGTATTATGGACACTTAGTTCTGGTTAGCAGCCGTACTTGATAGCTGGTGTTTAAGAGTACTGCTTGAAAGTGTACCTTTTCAGCTTTGAAATAGTTATAAAAAGAGAACAAAGTAGTTTTTTTAAATTTCAGAACAGAAGCAATTACTTAAGTGTTTCTGAAATCACTTCCTGTATAATCTTACCTATTTTGACTTAGTCATGATCTAATGTGATCTAAGACATCCTGGTGGAACCGCTGATTAGAGGATTTTTTAAAAGTGTTTTTTGAGACATGGTCTCATTATGTAGCCCAGGCTGGCCTCAGACACCTGGGAATCCTCCTGCCTCACCCTCCCTCGTGGTGGGATTACAGACAAGCGCTACCACAACAGGGGAGAGGGGTAAAGATGTATATGTTATATATGCTACGAAGAATGGAATCACATCAGAAAATGTTTCTTTGCCCTCTTTGAGTCTTTTAAGAAAGTTTATTATATCCAAACCACTGAATTGTTGTAAAATGTAGAATGGACGACTTTATTGTGGTAACACAATAAAGTCGTCCATTCTACATTTTACAACTATTAAATATACCTTGGAAATACAAATTCAGTGATTCTGTTTACCCATTTATATTGTTCCATGGATTTGTCTATAGGAACTAAATATAATATTGAGTGTAATGATAATGATAATAATAATGATAATAATTAACAAAGACTACTTATTTTTAGCCAGCACTGTTCTCAGCATTACTTTTAAAATTTTCACATAACATCAGGAGCCAGGAGGATCTCAGCTGGAGTGTAGCGTGCGCAGTTTAATGATTTAGTAAGATCTTGTCTCAAAAAAAAAAAAAAAAATCCACATGGAGATTCCTCCGAAAACTAAAACTGAAAGTCTGCTCAGCTATACCCCTTCTAGGCATCTTCCCAAAAAACTTAAAGACATCATTTTATAGTGATCCATGTTTATAGCTGCACAGCTATAATGGCTAAATTACAGAAGTGGCCCATATGTCCCTCAACAGATGAATGGAGAAAGAAAATGCATTTGTACATAATGAAATACTACTTTGCCAAAAAGAAGAATGCATGAGTCATTTGTAAAAAAATGGGTGCCCCTCGAGACCATAATCCTAAGAGAAATAAAGCAGACACAGAGGGTTAAATATTGGGTGGTTTCTCTGATGTGAGAAACCCAAAATATAAATAATTTAAAGAGCTAAATAAAAAGAGACAGAACAGGGAAGGGAGGCTTTGTGGAGATGGGAAAGGGGGTCTGGGGAAGGAGGGAGAGGGAGGAGTTGGAGGAAAGAGGAATTAAGAAGATCGTGGTAAGATACACATGTGTATATGTTTCAATTCCCCAAGATTACTATAATTAGTATGGATCACAACTATATACTAATAAGAAAAGTTTTTTTCCATTTAAAATAATTTTTAAACAAGGACTGGGAATATAGTGCAGGCCCTGGGTTCAGTCCCCACTGTGTGGTGATAAAGCAAAATGCCCTTGTCTTCAGCCTTACTGTTTCGTTTTCTTGTACCTTCCCAGGATGATTTTTTTCTCTCAACCTTCAGGAAACCAAATCTGGACCCCCTTTCTCAAGTCCTCTGTCCCCACGGATGCCTCTCTGGCTGAACTCTCACAGGCAGGGCCGGGCAGCCCAAAGCACACACAGCTGAGTGCTGACATGGAGTTTGTGGCTCTGTCCTGGACTCTGCCTCCCCAGGACAAGTGTGAGAGAGCAGCCTGCTGTGACAGTCACTTCTCAGGAGGGAGAGGGCTGGGTCAGCAGGGGCTGACGGAGATGGCAGACACTTTCCAACCGAAGGGCTGTTGGAGCACCCTGGGAAGAGGGGTTGCATTTGGGGAGAGGTGGAGTGTGCGGGACTGAGGGTGGGGGGCTGGAGGGGAGAGGTTCAGGGGCAACACTGTGGGAGAGAGGAGGACTTGGCAGCCAGTGACCTCCGGGCCCTGGTGGTTGGGGGTTCTGTCTTCACCCAAAAGAAAGCTGTGAGAAAGTGCATTTCTCTCCCATTATCATCCAGTATTTCCAGAACATCCTTGTGTACTTCTAATTGCAAAACCCACATGCAGCTGCTTCTGACCCCAGAGCAGGACGGCACCTTCTAAGATTGTTGCTCATCGGGCAGCACTGAAGTGTCCCCAGCTGGCCTGCAAAACTTTCAAGATGAAGCTCAGTCAAGTCATGATTCCCGAATGGCATTAGCAGTGCCGCGCTCTCTCGCTTCACTGCTGAGAAACTGCACTGAGTGCTGTTGAGGTAGAGGCGATAGAGCTAACATTTTACCTGACACAGTGTAGGCAAATTGCACAATAACTGTTCTTAAGCATATAGGAGTTTTAAAATACAATATTTGAATTGTAGGGCTAAAGAGATGTAGCTTAGTGGTAGAGCTCTGGCCCAGCATATGCAAGGCCCTAGGTTTGATCCTCAACACTGGGAAAAAGAAATTAGGGATTCCTTTATATATATAGTGAAGTGTCCAAGTTTCAGCCTTATGACTATTGCCCAGAACACCACAGTTTCTAGCCCTCAGTATGCTCCTAGATAGCACCAGTTTATGACTGCTCTTTCGATTTCTCCTACCATAATGAGTTTTGTTATTTCTGAACTCCATCTGAATAGGATCATCTGAATGGAATATATACTCCTTTGATGGGTGTCCTTTCTTGAACGTTGTCTGAGCAACCTCAGTATTTTTCTTCACAGTGTAGTATTCTATGTTGCTATACCACAGTTAATTCACTCTTTCTTTCTTTCTTTTTTTTTTTTTTTAATCAGTACCGGGGATTGAACTCATGACCGCCTGCTTGCAAGGCAGGTGCTTGTGCCGCTGAGCTAAATCCCCAGCCCCCTAATTCACTCTTTCTACTCTTGACTGATATAAGTGCTGAGCTATTTGATAAAGTGTCATCTCCTCCAGGGGTTATATTGTTTTAGATTGTTTTTCTTCTGTGTGTAACCAAGCAACTGATTGTTTAGTGGTGTAAATTTATCCCAGATAAATTTCTGGTTTCCTAAGTATTAGTGAACCATATGTTACTGTAGGCTGGGCAGGTAGCTCAGTGGTAGAGCTTGTGTTTTATTTTGTTTTGTTTTTGAGACAGGATCTTGCTATGTCACTAGGTGGTGGTTGAGCTCACTGTGTAGCTCACGCCGGCCTTAAACTAGAACTCACAGCGATCCTCCTGACCCAGCTTCCCGAGATCTGGCATTATAGGAGTTTGGTACTGCTCCTGGCTGTTCCCCAGAACCTGTTCCCCAGGACCAAAAGAAAGAAAATACCAAACCTTGGTCATTTTATAGGTCGTGATTTGTTGAGCCGTATTTTTCCACAAGGCTTTGTTTCCGGTGACCTGTCACTCAGCCAGGGACCGTGCAGTCACGCGAAACCTCACCCGTTCCCAGGTGGGAAAGCCCAGGTCGAGTGCGCAGCCTTCCCTTCTACCCATTGTTGGCACTGAGGGATGAATGGCAGAGGCTCTGTTGGGTTGAATGCTCAGGCTGATGTTACAGGGAGGTCATTGAAAGAGCTGCCGGGACGCCAGGCTCCTGTCTCCCTTCCTCCTGGTCTAGATGCCTGTGAAGCTTCCATTGTCCTCACCTGCTTGTGGGAGACTGAGTACTCATTTCTGTTTGGTGAAACGACTTACCCTGTTTTCCTCAGCATCAGTAACCAGGCTGGGGTGAGCAAATTCATTCAAAGCTTTTAATGAATGGTTTGCTGATGGCTAATGCGTTAAATTACATGGTGTCAACCTTTTATGTGAGAGATTATGATTTTTAATTACCGTATTGCTTCTTCTAGGAGAAATAATTCCCCCAAAGACAAAAAATTCTCAAGTAGTAGTAGTCAGGGAATGGGGTGTTCTTTAATAAATCATCAGCCTTTTATTATGTTCTTATGTGGTCATTTTTAATAAAAGTAAATAACAGTGTTGAAAATTATGAAAAAAACATTGCACACAGCTCAAGGATGATTATGACTGAGAAGTTAATGTCCAGCTTGTCTGAGCCGCGTGAAGGACCACATGCCCCACCTGTCTGAGCCTCACGGCGGAGCCTGAATTTGGCAGGCCTGGTGCTGGAAAGCGTGCATGGCAGATGGGCCCCAAGGAGGCTGCCGAGCCTCTCAGTAGATGGTGGGCAGTTGGGCTGAGGGCCACAGCCCCGGGGAGAATGCTTCTGTCACACGTCCCTCTGCCACCCTCTGTCCTGGGGAGCTATTAGGGGGTTTAGGCCTTTTTTTAAATATCCCAAAGTGCATAGATTGTTTGACCTGGGTCTAAGTTTTGAATGTGGAAGTCAGTGGTGCTTTATGACAAAACAGAAGAACATAGTGAGATGAGCTCTGTGGTCATAAAGTTGAGTGTTGAGAATCAAACTCATTTTTCCATTTTTCCATTAGATATGTTTTTTTAAAAGTCACAACAGATGTATAACCCACCATCAAAGTCAGAACTCTTCAGAGTGGTTTTATTCATGGGTTTTTATTTGGTGCAACTTTTGCCTTTTCTTAAAAGAAGCTCAAAATGAGAAAGAACCTGGTTACCTCCCTTTACCTTTCCGGGTCCCTGGTCCTTACCCTACTTCTCTAGGCTCATGATTCTGTTGTGTTCTTATCGCATTCTCTTGCTAACCCAGTTAGCGTCCATTTCAGGGTTGATTTCGTTACCCTATCTTGTTTTGTAAATGTATGGCATCTTTTCAGGGAGACTGGCATTGCCGTTGGGCATTTGGGCTGCAGCCCGTGTCATGATGTCCCTCAGCCCATGTGCCTTGCCAATCTTGGCTATCACTTATATCAGAAACTCCTGCAAAATGGACTACCAGCCTGTGATGAAAATTGGATGGGTCCTGTTATTTTTGGCTATTGGCTGAATCGTTAAACATGTTTTGAATGGCCTCTGTGTACAACCTACCTTCAGCATGAGACTGAAAGCTAACTCCTGCCTCCAAATTGTATATAAACTTACAGATATTTGGTTCCCACAAATACTTTTAGACACCTGAATTCAAATTTTGTATACTGTCCTAGAAAATGACAGTGAACAGACTCTTTAACATACCTTACATAATTGGATTGTTAACACTTGTGACCTAGTGCTCTTTCTTCACCCTAAATCCAGTGACTTCTGGGGTTTAAAAACTAACATTTAGGGAAGCGTTTCTTTACCTTGGCACCACTGAAGTTTTGGGGTGAATATTCTTTATAGACAAGACTCCTGGGAGGGATCTGTTGTGCCATCCTGGCCCTCTGCCCACAGATGCCAGCAGCCCCTTTCCTGGTGACAACCTGAACCTCTTGATGTTGCTCGATGTCCCCAAGGCACAGTCACCCTCGGCTCAGGACCAGGGGCTCAGGGTCTTCGCTGTATTTCCACTTCCACAAAGCTCTTCTCATAGGAATACAGGACGGCTCCAGAACCACAGATCCCCCTTTCCCCAGAATGATTGCAGAGTGGCGTGTTTAGGGTCACTGATTAATTACTGTATTCACTGAACATTTATTGACATTTATTTATTGAACTAGAGTCTTGTTCACACAGCTGTATTTAAGCTGGACTTCAGTTAGAGGTGAGTCTGAAAATGTTTGAACCCCACCTGAAATCCCTTCTTTAGCTGGTCCTCTTCAGTTGCTTCCTCCTAGATTACTGTTGGTATCTTGTTTTTTCACCTTTAATCATATGCCAAGTGGTATTATTAATTAAAACATCATATGAATACCTTGTTTTTGGAGTCATATTAGAAGCTGGCTGTAGGCAGGAATGGAAAATACAGATGATTTTCAGAGCCATGCACAAAATTCTATATATTTGTGAATAAAAGAATACAGATTACAATTTTAAAACAGTGTGTCAACATCAGTTTATGGGTGATTCTTACTTGTTTAAAGTGCTTTTGAGCTCCCAAAATAAAGCTGCCCTCCCCTTAACTTGACACTTAATATACACATGCCATTGTAAGAGTAATTATAATTTGATTTTCAGTCTTGTCAAGAAAAAAATTTAAACTTAAAATATAACTTAGAGTTAATAAAATCAACCAGTTGTTGATACTGAGGGACATTACAACATGCTTGAACACAGACATGTCATCTGTTTAATTCTGAAAAAGTGACTTTGGAATTAAGCAGGCTTCCTTGCTACCTAGTTTGAAATTTCAAGATCATACTAACTGTTAAAGTGCCTTGGATTTCACTTGGTCATTAATAACACTACTAATATGTTTTTTTCTGAAATTATCATTCTTTAGTAGTGTTTTCAGATTATCTTACCTCACAGCTGTATTAGACTTTGATTGTGTACATGGTTTGAAGCTGGGGATTTTTACAGGTAATTTAACATACACAGTGTAGAAAAGAAATGACAGTGTCTAGAATTAGCTAAATAATATACCTATTAATATTTAAATATCTTTTCTAAAGATTATTGCAAATTTTTAAAGTTCAGAATATTTGAAGCATATTCTTCCTATAAAAAGTTTGCTTCACCTGGTATCTTTATTATTTCTTTTATTTTGATTTTGTTTATTTAACACAGAAAAGCTTCACTGGCCTGAGCAAGAACTTGCTAAGAAGTCTGTTCTAAATGCAGAAGACTCATTGATCCCTGACAGCAAGAGAAGCCTTCCACATTCGTCCTCCGGAGTACTAAAAGACATTTTCACAACCGGAACCAGTAGTTACAATGTCCTGTTGCAGAGCAAGGAGGAAAGAAAGCACCATGCACAAAAACAGTCCTCCTCCACCTACTCCAAAGGATGTAGAAAGCCCAGCAAATGCCCTAGCTCTTCTCGTAGCAGAGACTCTCGCAGGACGAAAGCCCCAGTACCCCCAGGACCCGTGGCAAGCAGTGGGACTTGGTATTGCCTGGAGAGGCAGCCCGCTGTTTTTGTCACTAGCTCAGTGTCAAGTCCTGTGAAGTTTACCCATGATATCTCTGTTACAGGGAACAACATAGTCCTGCCACCCAAACCCAAAAGCAAGGTCAAGCAACACCATTTCTCCACCCTGGCAAAGCCCAAGCAGCAGCCTCAGCTGTCTAGAAGCTTTGAGAAAGCAGGTGACTTTTCTGCAAAAAGATTTTGCATATTGACTGCTATAAAACCTACCAACTTAGAGAAAGAAAAACTGAGATTCTTCAAATCTGACTATACCTACAACCCTCAGTTTGAATACGCCAACCCAGCCCTGCCGACCGTGTTAGCCAAGCACAGCGATGCATCTGACCGATTTCTGAAGCAGGTAAAATGCCAGTAGTGGCATTGCATTTTTTTGTAGCTCAAACAATTATCTACCACTCTGCTAGCAAAAAACCTTTTTTAAAATTGTCCTGTAATGTATATGTTATAATTATTTTCAAATCCATTTTATTTCAATGTTGTAATTAACTCCCACCCATGTCAGGTAGATACGTGACCAGAAATCTCTAGGTAAGTGATGTTACCTATACGTGGACAACTTTGCTGTCATCAAAATCTGTATTGTTAAGACTCTTTGTGACAGCAAGTAGCCCTGTTCAGAGGTGAGTTTCAGATTCAGATTTTAAGCTTTCATTCAGAAGTCACAAAATCTTGGCCTGTGATAAGCCGACAGACATCTGTTGGGAGCTTACACTATGTTTTTGTTTTCTAATCGATTGTTAATGTGTAGGTGGAACATGCGATCTCTGGTTCTTGCAAGCTGGCTTATCCCCAAATTACCAATCTGTAGCAGTTTGTTTCTTGCCTATGAACTTGTTAATGCCTTTCTAAAGCAGTTAACAATTAATCTAGTATTCAAGTGCTCATTTAAAGAGGAAAATGGGCTTGGGCTATAACCCTGTGGCAGAGTGCTTGCCTAGGGTGAGCCCCTGCACCATAATAACCAATCAATCATGTCAAAAAAGAAGAAATTAATGGAATTAAAGATTATCTTTGGGACTAACAAATAATCTCATGAATAAAAATATTTTCTAAACTGTTCAGTTTACATTTAGCACATAGTTTTATTTTTAGAGTTACATGCAAAAACCTTACAAAAGTATCTGAGGCAGTATTTGACTTTAGGACATAGTGTTGAGATATTTGCAGACTGCCTGTAGTTAAATTAACTTTGGACAGGTTTCTAGAGTACATGAGCCTCAACTTGGCTTTGTCAGTCATCAAAACATCTATTCGCAGGACAGGTGAGCAAAATTGCTTGGTTCTATTTTTCAAGAGATATTTGTCCTCTTTTAGCAGTCTTTGGTCTTCTGGCCAGACTTATTTGGTCTTATGGTGAGAATTATTTGCTGTTTGGTTTGGAGTTTTTCCTTAGTTTGTTCATGTTTTTTGAGACAGGATCTCACTATGTAGTTAAGGCTGGCCTTGAACTCACCACACAGCTCAGATTGGTCTTGAACTCATAGAGATCCTCCTGCCTTAGCCTCTTGAAGTACTGGGATTACCCTCAGTGTGCCACCATCCCTAGCTTCCTTCTTTTTTTGATAGGAAAAAAATTAATTGGAAATATATCAATTTAATTGGAAATGTAATACCTCACCAGTAGAATGTCTTGACCTAAAATTTCTCCGATGAAAGGAGTATAGTTCTAGAATAGAAATAGGTTTTTAATTTTGTAGACCTCATGTTGCCAAAACAATAAAGCAGCAGAAAAAGCAAGACTTCTTTAAATAAACTGCACCTCTCCTTAGGTAACATGATTTTCTCTTTTGGCAAATCATGAAACTTTCATAGATACCCCAAAAGTAAAAGTTTTCAATAGGTTCCATAGTCGCTTTGTGTACTAGGTTAGAGAAGTGGGGTCATTTCTTAACTTAATAGCTAGAGAGGTTTTCTTCCAGATCAGGTGGAAACTCGCCCATCAGATTATCTGTCCTTGGAAGGAGGAAAGACCTTGATGCCTCGTTGCACAGCTTTGTTGATCTGACTTTGAAAGCTCACTGACCTGCTGTGACCCAGTGACGGGCACTTTCTCAGGTTATCTTAGCAGGGTCTTTCCTAGTTCCATTGTCGATGCTGAAAGAACAGTCTGCAGTGCTCAGCCATCCGTAAACATCCCTGCCTTCTTCTCCTCCTGCCCTCCATCCACACCACCTGCCCGTCCCTGCAGAATGCAGAGGGGAGACCCTGAGCCAGGAGGAAAGGAGTGCACAGAATGGGGCCTTGGCAGACTCAATGTCTGGACCTGTTTTATTTCCTGGCTTCTCCCTATCTAGACTATGACTTTCTGAAGTGCATATATCGGTTTGTCTCTTTTTATTGCAATGTGATCCTAGTCTGCAGTTCATATTAAAGAAAACTGACTTCCCTGGCCAAATCCTGTGCTGCCTCCAGTCTCTCCCTGCTGTCCATTCTGCTGCCAGGTGCACGTCTGGTGCTGTCATTTCTCTTCCTGAGCTTCTGCAGGGTCCTTGTCATTCTAGCTGAAGTCCAGAATCCTCAGCGTGGCTCTCAGGGCCTCTCACAAAGGTTACATTTACCCTGTGACCATTTTTAGGTTTCTTACTTCTTCCTCACTAGATTGGCCTCCTTGGTATCAGTGCACTTTATTTATTTCAGCTACTCCATAATCTCTAGCACAGTTCCTGGCTCTGAGTGACTCTTCCCAAGCTGTCTTTCATTTGCTTTGGTTTCTCTGTGCCTTTGACAGTGTTACTTCCATGTGCCTGGAATGCCCTTTAGCTCTGCTAATCCCCTACTTCTATCTACCTTTTTTACATGACCTTACAATAGTTCATAACTCCATCAAAAGTATTACTACATTATGTCTATTTATACGTCATCTACAAATCTAATACCAGATCAGAGACTCAGCTTCTAAAATAGAAAAAAGTGAGTGATTGGCAGAAGGTGACCATGAAGGTGACCATGAAGGGGAATGACTGAGGAGCTGGTTCAGTGCATGGTCCTTTTTGCTGCAATGTTGGAAACATATTGAAGTACTTTACAAACCATAGATCTGTGATCGATGGTCAGATTTCTAAATTTGTGGCCTAGGGTCAAGTTCGGCCTGCGTGTATCTTTCGTTTGGCTGGGTGGTGTTTTTGAACACTGAATGGAAAGGTGCCACTGCATTGTCCCTCCCAGGTGCCTTGGAGCTGGTAGCTTTGCACTGTGGTTATGCTCACAGCTGAAGGCGTGGAGGTTGTACCACTGCGACAGTGTCTGTAGGTGGGTGGGTGCAGTACTTCACATGGAGGCTGTGGTCTGATGTTACTGCAAATCTTTACAAGCCTGATGTGCTACCACACAGTAGCCACTACTGAAAGCCTCCTTGAGTGTTAGGAATTTTGCTCTGCATTCTGGGACTCTCATAATACCAGAATGGGGGGTTCCTCTTGTTATCTGCAGTATTCTCCAGCTGGTCTCAGGAACACTAAGAAAGGATCAGAAAACACTGGGTGTTGTTATGTTCATGCCCAAGATTCACCGCACAGTATCACCACAAAGACTGGCAAGAGTCCTTTGACTTTATTTAATCCAACATTTTCCAAATTTTGAGTTGTTCATGAAAACTATGAAAAATTATGTCACATGTCTGCTTTCGCTCAAGGAATAGTTTGGAAAACACTGGCTTAAAGAAAAAGAGATCTCATCTGTAGGGGGTTCAGATTCTAGAATTTCCTGAAAAGCAAAGGAATGGGGTATTGAGATTGTATGTTAATTAGCAAGGCAGATAAAAATTACCATCAATAAAATGTTAGAGGACAAGCCAGTCAATTTAAAATCTAAAAATCAGGCAGGGCATAGTGGCTCAAGCCTGTAATCCCATCCCAGGAGGCTGATGCAAGAGATCCTCAGTTTGGGCCACATAGTGAGTTCAAGGCCAGCCCAAACTACATAGCAAGATACAGTCTCAAAAAAACCAAAAAAGTAAGATATAAGATCCAAAACTTAAAAAAAGTTTAAGGATAGTCTGGCTTACTTAGTGAGACTCTTCCCAAAATTTAAAAATAAATACAAGGGACTGAGTTAGAGCATCCTGGGTTCAATTCCCAGTACCAGCCACCCCACCCCCACACACACCCCCACAAAATTAAAACCTAGCACTCTTCTGCCAAATTTACATAGTGTACAGGCCTATGGGAAACAGATTATAGACCACATTCTCAGTGCCCCTCCCCACCCCATCTCATCTTCACAGTGCTGTGAGGTCAGCAGGACATGGATGTTCACCTCCATTTTACTGGGAAATATGCTACATGTAAGAAAATTAAAACAGTGTCCCCACCGTACACCGTTAGCACTTGCTGGCAACCTGATGTAAAACTAGGGCCTCTGGTGTCGCATCTCCTGCAGCACTGCCCTGTGTCCGTGGCCCCATGAGAAATGATGCTTTTCATTGAGAAAAAGCCGCATGTGGGAAGGGAGATGATTTTTACCACATGACTGTCAGATTTCCAAATTGCTAAACATTAAAGAAAATCCCCAGCAAATCACTTAGCAAACGGAGAATTTTTAGGAGGTTTGTTATATTATCCAACAAAATGCTGAAAGCTCTATGTAGAGAAATTTTTTTATTTTATGGATTAATGGTTTAAAAGTTGTATGTTGCTTTGTTGTAGCAAAACTGAATTGGGAAAAGGAATAATACCAGAGGAAGTCAGGAGGCCATGGTCTTGGCTGGAGTAACTTCCAACAAAAACCAGGTGTCAGGTATCTGTGAGCCAGCATTTATTTATGAGGCCATAAGCAGGGATTGGAAAGGCAGAACAGGAGAGCCTGAAAGTTCTGATTAGCTAGCAGGGTGAGATGGGCTAGATTAATGACCATCAGTTCCAAGACTAGATTAATGACCGTAAAGCGGTATAATCAGGTTAGTTTACACTCTCCTGGTTACAGGAGTCAAGAAAGCAGTTACGGAGCCATGAAACAGTTACAGAGCTAGGCAGCTTCAAAGAGCACAAAGTTCTAAAAAGAACAATTTTTCCTAGTATATGTTTCCCTTTTAACTTGATCCTCCTCCTCCTCTTCCTCCTCCTCCTCCTCCTCCTCCTCCTCCTCCTCCTCCTCCTCCTCCTCCTCTTCGTTTTGCAATAGTTTTTGTTTTGATTTGAGTGTTTGTCTCTTACATAGTTCAGGTTGGCCTTGAACCTCACTATGGTAGCCTAGGCTGGCCTCAAAGTCACAGCAGTCATTCTGCCTCAGCCTCCTAAGTGCTGGTATTACAGGTGTGCACTACACCCAGCTCCACTAAGAGGTCACTCACATGACATACAGTTGTTTATCCATTTAAAATGTAAACTTTAGTAGTAGTGATTTTACTATATTCAGGTATGCAACCATCACTGCAAATTCCAGAAATTTTGTTCCCCCAAGATAAGTCCAGTACCCTTAATAATCACTTCCCATGTTACCAACCTCCCTGCCTCAGTAAGCACAGTCTGCTTTCTGTCTATGTTGATTGGCCTAGTCCGGGTATTTGTTATGAATGGAATTGTAGAATATGTAGTTTTAATGGTCCTTGGTGACTAGTGTCCTTCATTTATCATGATGTTTCCAAAGATTCATCCAGGCCGTATACGTATCAGTACTTTTACTGCTGAATAATATCCTATATATGGACTCCACACATGGATTCCATGTATGTTTACTCATTGACTGATAGATATTTAGACTGTTTCCACTTTGGGACTATAATGAATCATGGTCTGAAAGTTCATGGTCAAGTTTTTGTGTGGACTTCATTTGCAGTTACATTGGGTTCATATCTAGTGGTGGGTTTGCTGGCACACATGGGGACCTTCTTGTTTTAACCTTTTCAGGAACTTCTAGACTGTTTTCCAAAGTAATTGCACCATGTAATTTCCACCCAGCAGTATGATGATTCCAGGCTTCTCCACATCCTCATCAACTCTGGTTTGTTTGCTAGTCATCCTGATGGAGGAGAGGTAGGATCTCACTGGGTTTTGTGCATCTCCATGGTGGCTAATAATATTGAGCCTCTTTTGTCATATGCTTATTGACCATCTGTATGTTTTCTTTGGAGAACTGTCTATTCAGAGACTTTGCTCATTTTTAATTAGGTTGTTTGTGTTTTTTATTATAGGGTTGCAGGATTTCTTCGTTCTAGGTACAAGTCCCATATCTGACGTGAGATTTGCAAATGCCTTCTTCTATTATGTGGGCTGCGTGTTAGTCAGCTTCTTTTGCTGTGAGACAAACAATTGAAGAGAGGCTCCTAGTTTCATAGGTTTCTTTCCATGGTCAGCTGACTCCATGGCTGTCTCAGGCCTGTAGTGGGACTATCATGGTGGAGGAAGGAGGGTTGGCAAGCTCCAGTGAGTACTGGGGACAAGGTACATCCTTCCAAGGATACCCCGCTGACTTCCGTCCTCTAACCAGGCCTCCCTCCCAGCAGCCCCTTCAACTAATGACCTGATGAGTAGATGGATCCACTGGGTGACGTTGGAGTCCCTGTAGCCGTCGATTCCCAAAGGCCCATTCTGGATCCCACCGTCAGCTTCTTAGTGGTATACGTTAGAGTACAAAAGGTTTAATCTTATTAAAGTCCGCTTTACTTTTTGTCCTTTGTGTTTTGGTGTTGGATCTGAGATGAGCCGGGGGCCTCTCCCAAGGTCATGAGAATTTGTAAGTTGGCCTTCTCTAAAATTAGAGTTAGCACCTTCCTGACTCTAGGTGCCTCTTCCCAAACTGAGTGTCACTGGCTTCCATGTGCTTTTGATAATATCACTCCTTTTTACCTGGAATGTCCTCTATCCTCTAAACCTCAATTTCTATTTACCATTTTTTATGATCTTACATTATTACATTATGTCCATTTATATGTCATCTGCCAACCTAATGTTGACAAGGACTAGCAGTTTCTAAAATATAAAAAAGTGATAGTGATGGGTGGAAAGTGACTATGAAGATGAATGGATGAGTGGCTATGAATGGTCCTCTTTTTGGGAATCCCAGAAATTTATTAAAGCTTTTACCCATCTGTTTTTCCACTGCATATTCTTTAGTACCACATACTACATTGTGAAGTACACTTTCTGATTAGCATAGATAATGATACAATGCCATAAAGTTTGCCCTAAAATTTATTGCCTCTTAAAAATGTTACTGATGTATAGGAGTGCAAAACCTTGATTCTTTTAAGTAGTACAATCATTGATTCTTGGAGGTGTCACCCTTTTTAAAAATAACTTTTTCCTTCTGATCATAGTACAAACATGCATACTGTGAAGGATTTTAAAATGTATGAAGAATGCAAACCACACACATTCCTGCAGCCCATTAGCCCTTCTCCAATGTAAACAGCAGCCTTAGGGTATCCTTCCCAATCTTGAAAGCATCTTTTAAAGTTTCACTTTCCAAAATTGGGATCATCGTAAAGGAGAAGAAAACAATCAGAGGTGATGACAGGGAAAGCGCCTCAAAGAAGAAAAACAGATGGTGATGCGATGCTTAATATTTCGTGTAGAGGGAGCTCAGCTCAGCGGCATAGGACCTGCCTGGCAAGTGTGAGGTCATGAGTTCAATTCCTGGTACCCTCGCCCCCCCCCAAAAAAAATACTTCATACAGAGAACTACAGTGATGTCCCGCACACTGTCACCTCCACTGTGGTTCTGTGGCACTCATGAAGTGAGGGGAAATGACGCGCAGGTGTGTAGCATTTTGGTGGGAAAATTACATTCTCTCACTGCAGAAAATCTTCATTTAAAGTCTTCCCTGACTTTTTCATTCATGATAACAATACCTGTAATGTTTCTTAATTCTCTAGACTGTTTTTTATTTGCTACATTAAATAGTAACCAGATAACTACATTTTCCTATGAGTAAGCATATGCTAAGAAAAGATAATTTTCTCTGGAGTTATTTTGCATAGAAAATCTTGGAAACAGAAATTATAGTGAAAAACTTTTAGCCTCTTTCGGGTCTGTCAGTCCAGTCCAGAAATTGTTCCTCTTCTTTTTTCTGCAGTGTATACGGCCACATTGCCCACATTCTTTTCACATTTCAAGAACTGGATAACTGGAGGCCTTTGGTCTCTTATGTGTGTGTGTGTGTGTGTGTGTGTGTGTGTGAGAGAGAGAGAGAGAGAGAGAGAGAGAGAGAGAGAGAGAGAGAGAGAGCCATGCCTTTGCTAGTCTCCTAACATGGGCTTTTAATTATTATAATTATTGCTTTTCAGTCTGTCTTATGAGTGAATCAGACTCAAGGGCACCCCCACCTCATCTGCCATCTCTGGGGTCCTCTTCACTTTTCCCTGTGTGTGACTCAGCTGGGAATCCAGTGGACAAGAAGATTCTGACCTCGTAGCGTGATAGGATAAGGCTAAAATCCTGCATTTGGGACCAGCTCCCACCCTGCCAGTGCTGCTGGCCCACGCTGAATAGCAAGGCTTTCAATAATAGTTTGGAAATGGAAATCCCAAAGCCTGTTAAATCGCTGCTTGTTGTGGTAACTTTATGACACTGCATGCCTACCTTATTAGTAACGCACGTTTTCTAATGCAAGTATATGTTGATTGATGGTGACTGGCACTTGTGAGCTTTCCTGTAATTTGAAGGCAGCTTGTTGTTTACAGTGGTAGTGTCTATAAAAAATGGAAATACACCACTGACGTGACAGTCAGTAGGTAGAGCTTCATCGTATGTCCGGTGCACTATGCTTGACAAAGGTGGATGAAATGTCCTCGACGAAACCTTGACGAGGGCGTTGTGTTTGTTACCCTCCTTCACAAACAAGGGAGTGCAGAGGAGGGGTTGCCAGCGTAAAGATCGATCGGCTGGAGGATAGAGAGCAGGAGGGTGTAAGCTAGGTCCTGTCCTAGAGCGGTACCTTCATCTGCTCACTAGTCGGACGGCAGTTCAGAAGCTCAACATGCATGTGAGTTCCCCAGATCTCATGAGATCTACTTGAATTTTCCAACTTATGTTCCAAAAGGCCTTGAAGGACAGTTTTCTTCCTCCTTTTGTTTTGCTTTCTTTTGGCTTTTCTACAATTCTGGATGGCTTGTAGTTTGTTACCAGACTTCTGTTCTGGCTCTGCATGTGTGGAGAAAACAGTTTCAACTTTTGTGTTCCTTTGTTGTGAAAATTTATAAAGAATAAAATTAGACAGTTCTCTGGTCTGAAAGAAAGATGGTCCTCATTAATCTTGAGACTGCTGTCTGCCACAGATTAGACCAGGAAAATAGTGATTTTAGAGACTGTCACAGAAGACTAATTGACTCCTTAATATTTTGAAGTTTTTTTTTTTTAATTTAGGTGCTAATTGTGGCACAGAGGCCAGTGCAGGTGTACACCTCCCTTGGTGCACGCAGAGAAGCCACCACCTCAGCTGTCGCCTGGCAGCACTGTGGGTGGCCCTGGAGCCCTTTGCTTGGGGACAGAGCACACACTTGTGAGCTCACTCGCTGTTCCCTCCAGTAATCAGCGAAACTGGAACACAGCAGAGCTGATTTGCCACTCATGTCTAAGTCACACTGTCCTCTACTGTCCCCCTCTCCTGCTTTTACAGTCCGTCCGTATCATGGAGCTGACTCTGCAGAAGTACGGCAGTTACGAGAACTTTGAGCAGGCCACGGGCGGCAGCCTGCTGTCGAGGCCGCGCATCTGGAGCCACGTGCGGAAGTACATGACGAAGGAGGGCTGCCTGGGAGAGGTGGGCGCGGCGCTGCTCCTGTACAGCCACCCGTGTACAGCCGTGGGCCTGTGGGAATTCCTCAATTATCTGAATCTTGCTGAGGAGGCGCGTGGCCTGGTGGTCTCTCCTGTTAGTAGCCCTGTCTTAGTAGTGTCTCAGGGACTTGGTACGGGCCGCCAGCGGGACTCTGTCCCTGCACCTTCTTTTGCCTGCTGTGGCCAGGGACTGTTTGAGAAACCCTGCTGGTTCTAGAGTCCAGAGACAATTAAAGGTGGCCAGCTGCACGTTCTACCACCCTGATCCTGGGCGAGTCAAGGTAGCCGTGGACCAAAGGGCGAGTTCATCCCTGGCTCACTGTATTCTGTGACAGCGTTTCCCCCACTTTGCTGTCTTCTACACATATCCTTTCCTCTTGCCCTTTAGATTGTGGTGCATCTCACCGAAGACCTGCTGTCCCGAGCCTCGATGACAGTCGTGAATGGGTGTCCCACTCTGACCATCAATGTGGCTACTGCACGCGAGCACTGGCTGGAGGGGATGCTGCGGCATGAGATAGGTGGGCAGCCCCTGGCCACCTGGCGTGGCAGGAGGTGGCCCAGGGTGGTACTCTTAGCAGGAAGCATGCGGTTGCTAAGCAGGACTAGGACTAAAGATAATGTACTTGGCCGGGCGTGGTGGCACATGCCTGTAATCCCAGCACTCAGGAAGCTGAGGCCGTGAGTTCAAGGCCAGCCTGGGCTACAAAGTGATTTCAAGGCCAGCTTGAACTATGGAGCGAAACCCTGTCTCAAAAAGATGAGAGACAGACAGACAGAATAAATGTACTTATTTCACGTTCAGTTTGTTAGGACACCATCAGGCTGTAGCTGTGCTGAGCTGGGAAAGTCATTTTGACTCCTCTGGATTTCAGCTGCCCCTCCTTCAACTAACAGGGTTGAATAAGCATCCAGACTGATGCTTCTTTCTAACAATATGGTTGTAAAGGCCATGTGGGGTTTTGGAAAGGACTGTACTCCTTCTGCCCCAGAGGCTTTAGGGCAAGTCATTTTCTACTTTGTTTTGATTTGTTGATGGAATCTTTTCTGTATCAGTTTTCTATTCCTGTAACAAATAACTGGAATAATCAGCTTAAAATGAGAAAAGGTTTGTTCTGCCTCACAGTTTGGGAGGCTTCAGTCCAGGATCGATTGGCCCAGGTTAAAACAGGAGTGACCTCAAAGCCAGAAAGCCAGAGAGAGTGAAGAGGAAGGGGCCAGGACCCCATTATCCTCTGAGAGGGCTCAGCCCAGGAGCCTAGCGACCTCTCTAGGCCTCCCCTTAGTTCCCTCCACCTCCCAAGCGTACCGAGCTGGGGACCAAACCCTTCTGCCTGGGCGTGGAGCAGTTTCACCCGCGTCCCCCCTCTCCTCTGCAGGCACACATTACTTCCGAGGGATCAACAACCTGCAGCAGCCGTGGAACAGTTGGACTGGCCGCCGAAAACACGAGCTGAAGCCCAACAACCCCACCGAGGAGGGGCTGGCGAGCATCCACAGCGTGCTGTTCAGGAAGGACCCCTTCCTGTGGAGGGCCGCCCTCCTCTACTACACCGTGTACCAGGCCAGCCACATGTCATTCAGCGAGCTCTTTAGAGACATTGGCAGATTCGTCAAGGACCCCAATACCCGATGGGATTACTGCGTGCGAGCCAAGAGGGGCTGGACCGACACCTCCCAGCCAGGTGGGCGCCCCTGACCTGGGTTCCCTAGTCCGGGCTGGTTAGCGTGGGGTGCAGGTCACAGTCTAATTATGAAATCTGAGGACTCACTCATCTGTGACAAAGGAAACCTTTGTTTTCCAAACCACTCTTTCTCAGCATTGTTGTACAGCTCATTTTGAAAATTTATAGTCTAATAATGTTCATATACTCCTTTATCAAGATTCACCAGTTTTTAATTTTGCCATTTTTACTTTCTCTCCAGCTTTTAAAAAACAGATTTCCTGACATGTAATTCACATGCCACGCAGTTCACCCCTTTATCACCCCGTTAGCAGTCTGCCTTCCTCCCCCCCCCCACCTCTGAGCAACCACCTTGAGCGGTTCTCACGGTTAGTCTCTGTAGATGCACTTGTTTTGGTAATAGAAAGTATAAAATTTTTGTCAGTAGCCTAAAGATGTCAGACAGCCCACAGAATTTTTTGTTTTCCTTTATTTTGAACAAGATACACAAAAGTCTATGACAATTGTTATAGTTACTTCTAGACATAATACCTGACACAGCTCTAAGGAGGAAAGGTTTATAGAAGTTTGTAGAAGTTTGAGCTCATACTCAGCTGGCTGCAAGGCAGATGCCATGGCGGAGGAGGCTGCTCTTGAGAGGCAGGAGGCAGAGAGTGATCGGCAGGCCCTCCAGACTGTGCCCCGTCTTACTTTCTCATTGTTAGGACCAAGTGCCGGACACCCACAAGTTAAAGGAGAGAGGTTTATATTGGCTCAGTCTGAAGAGGTTTCAGTCCACCGTTGGCTGGTTCCAAGGCAAGGCAGCATGGCAGAGGAGGAACAGTCCATGGCGTGACAGGCAGGAAGCAGAGAGAGCTCAAGGGAAAAGGAGGGATACGCATCACTCCTCCAGGCCACACCCACAGTACCTGCTTCCCCACCAGGCTTCACCTCCCAACATCACACCTGGCCAAAAAACCACCAGTATCCACACAGCCATGATCCAATCACCTCCCGGTGTCCCCACCTAGGAGCACGTGAGGCTCTGGGAGGGCATTTAGAGAAGCCACAAGAGCCCCAGTGACCCACTGCCTCCAACCAGGCCTCACCTCCCGGTGTGCCATTCAGGTGTACACTGTTCAGTGGGCTAATCCACGGGGGGACCTCTTGGATCAAACCATAATTCCAGTATAAAACTGTTTTTGAAAAGAAAAGGATAAAAATTAGGAACTGTTTAAAAGCCATCTTAGAGCTTGGAAGCACTCAGGCAATGGTGGTTTTGTCAAAAGCAGGGATCTGGCAAGACTGGAATCAGGTGGTCGGTCATCTGTCCCCTGGTTTCAGGTGTGCACAGCTGCCTCCAGGGTGGGCTCCTGATAAAGTGTTGTTTCCTGTCTGCTTTTTAGATCTTCTGCATTACTGGAGACTGAATCTAGGGCCTTCCCACTGAGCTGTATCCCCACCCCCTTTTGAAACAAGTATTCATTAAGATACTAAATTACCCAGACTGGGCTTGAACTTGAGCTCCTCTTGCCTCAGCCTCCTGGAGTGCTGGGATTACAGGTGTGTGCCACCATGCCTAGCTCACTCTGTTTCAGTGCCCAGGGTTGCCGGTTACCCCATGAAAGCAGGTGCCTTTTTTTTTTTTTTTATTGGTACCAGGGATCAAACTCAGGACCGTGCGCTTGCAAGGCAGGTGCTTATGCCACTGAGCTAAATCCCCAGCCCCAAGCAGGTGCCTTTTAGACTAGTCTGTTGCTTCATACACATCTTTTTTAGCTTTTTATTGTGGAAAATTTCTTTTTTTTTTTAAGAGTAAGAGAATTCATTAGGGAATAGAGGTAAGGGGGAATAGGAATAGCTCCTGAATAGGTTGCTGTATTTTGGAAATTTTTAAATGTACGTAAAAACAAGTAATATGCTGAGCCTGATCTTAGTACTCTTTGCTGTCACTAAGCGGTTCACCTAGTCTTCCAAGATCCTGCTTTCCTACAGTATCATAAGAACAGTTTCAGCACCGTGACCAAGGACATTGTAGTGTGTATCTCTTGCCGACATTTCTCACAACGCCCATGTTAGTCGCTTTACCTAACAGAATGATAACTGCCTCCATGTAGGACTGTGTGGTACAACTTCAGTCCACTTAGTAAATGCAAGCAAATAATTTTAAAGACTGAATTTATGTCAAGATGAGAAAAATGGGGGCTGGAGATTTAGCTCAGCGGCATAAGTGCCTGCCTTGAAAGCAGGCAGGCAGTCGTGAGTTCGATCCCCGGTACCGATAAAAAATGAAAAAGACAAAAAAAAAAAAAAACAGATGGAGAAAAATGGTTTTCATCATCTTTTTTTTAATAGTCTCAGATTTCTTGAGCTTTTCCTACTTTTCATGAATTCATATTTTTTCTATTCCTAACCCTACATAGTCTTTAAAATCCAGTTCTAAATCTTACTTTCACAGAGGAGCACAGTCTGGAAATAACCTAGATTTGTTTCTAAACTATAGCTTCTTTTTTTGAGGGCAGAGGTCTGTTATTAAAAACAACAACAAAAAGGTAGAAAAATACAAAAGGAAAACTTCCTAAACTCTGTCTGCACCTGGGCCTTTGTTGAGACCTTAACTGCTCCAAAACTCCCTTCCCGGCTGCCTGGTGCCGTCTCCCACCCCGGGAGCCCAGGTTAGACCGGTCAGTATGGGCGCAGGATCATGAAAGCCACAGATTTTAAACTGCCAGGTTAAGAAGGAGCGTGGGGAAGGGAAACTACAAGTCTGTATGGTGTTCTGGCTTTCCCAAGACTTCACAGTTTTTTTGTTACTATAAACAAACATTGGCAAACTGGATTTTTTCCTGGAAGTGTGGAGAACGGAACCCAGAGCCCTATGCATGCTAGGCAAGGGCTTCACCACTAGCTGCACCCTAGCCCCCATCAGAGTAATTATTCTGCAGGTGTGTCCCTACAGTAAAAGGAACTGGATCAGCATCTAGATTCTTAGTAATTTTTTAAATATCAGAAAGTAAACCTTTGTGCTTCTTTCAGGGTGTTTCAGTAAAGACCAAGTCTACCTGGATGGCATCCTTCAAATCCTCCGATACCGAGAGTCCATAGACTTTCATCTCCTGACGGCGCTGGGGAAGGTGAGGAAGCCCATGGCGCGGTCGCCACTCACCAGGCAGCTGCCCTGGGAGCTGAGACTCAAGTCACACGCTCCCGTTATCGCTGGAACAAGATCATTTACGTGATAACGGAAGACAAATACATGGTTCTGTCAAAGATTTCTTGGTGGTGAATAACAGAGAAAGTAGACAATTTGGGACTATGCATAGTTTTATTTTTATATCTGCTTTTTCTAAGCAGCATGTCCTTCTAAAAGCATTTTAAAACTATAACATTTCCCACTTAGTGCCTCCAAGCTGGAGGATATCCTCAGACATGACCATACAATTTCCTTTTGGTACTGGGAATAGAAATCAGGACCTTGCGCTTGCCAAAGACCAATTTTTAAAAGAAATTTTTCATTTGTTCAGTCATTTTTCTTGAATTTGTGGCAATTTTCTTGCCTCAGCCTTCCAAATGTTGGAATTACAGGTGTGAGCCACCACGCCTGGCCTAATCTAACATTCAAAATATAATCACTTTAATTTCTCCAGAATAGTCTTTGCATCACTTGTGATTCTAGATCCAATCAAAATGTATTGCCTTTGGTTATACTTCATCTCTTTTAATCTACAGCAGTCCTCTGCACGTTCTTTTTTTATGACATTTTTAAGAGTTCAGGACAGTTTCCTTCAAAATTCCGATAGTCTAGATTATCATATTGTTTTCTTGTGATGTGATTCAGGTGACAGCTCTTTGCCCCAGGGGGTGTATATTTCCTGTTGTGACACATAGAAAGCCCCAAGGCATTTTGCACCATTGCTGGGGAAGCTTTGCTAGATCCTTGGGTAAATTAGTGACACCAAATCTCCAGGCCTCTCTTGCCCTTGTGCTGGTGAGCTGTCCGTGGGTGAGTCCTACACATGGGCCAGGGAAGCAGCGGTCTTTGAGCACCCACAGGGGACCGGCGCCCAGTCAGGTTCTGCACTGCAGGTAACAAAGGAGAGAGCTGGTTTCCTTGTTTCTTCTCTCACGTCCCCCTTTCCTGCAGTACTATCATGGGCTCACTCCTTTCCATTCAACTCTTTCGTGGCTGCACCAATTTTATAAAAATACGTGTCCATGATTTCTGACATAGTAAAATGTCCTGGGTTCAGGTTCACATCTCCTGTGCAAACCTGAGATTAGCTATTTCCTCGGTGAAGCCTTGGTGGCCTTGGTGGGTGATGGTGTTTGGGAAGCAGGACCTGAGTGCCGCGTGCGTACGAGGGCAGGCAGCGTAGCTCATCACCTGACACAGCAGGGAGAGCAGCTGTGCAGGTCAGCAGAGCAATGCGGTGATGAGGAAAAGGTGGCAGTACTGCGAGAGATTACTAAGTGCGGCACAGAGACAGGAAGTGAGCTCCTGCTGTTGGCAAACTGGCACTGATCCGGTCACTTTCCTTCAACTATAAAAATGATGTGGTGGACCACAGCAGAGGCTAGCTGTGCCTGTCCCGTCTCTCCTCACAGACAGGGTGGGTTAGGGTGACCAAGCCACGCCAGTGTCCGCCAACCTGCTTTCATTACGATTATGGGTGTAAATAGTAATTGCGTGATTTTAATAATAATAAAAACACAACAAGGTGGACATGAGAGAAGAAACACAGGGGCTTTACTACTAAACCTAACAGAAAGATATGGTTGTGCACATTCCCTAGAAACAAGACCAGGTCTTACAGTAATTTTTGGTCCAAAAGACACAAGAGAGCTTTGATTCAGAGATGTCTCATCTTTCTCATGAACAGCATCCTGTTTTTATTGATTTATTCGTGTGTGAAAACCTGTACTTACTCAAATGCAGTCATGTCACGGTCTTCTGGAACACTACCACAACTCCAAACCCTAATTCCAGCCTGAATCTCTTGTGGCTCCATTTCCCAGCCTCTCAGGTCCAGCAATCACGCTCTCCTTCCCTGAGTGCTTCCTGGTCGTGTAACCTGTAGTGACAAGGACAAGCAGTGCACTGGCAACCCAGCAGTCAGAGATTCTATCTCATGAATTCGTCACCCGAGTCAGGACGTCCCGCAGGCCGGGCTTCACAAAGTTTCCAATAGGTGAAGTGTTAACTGAAGACTTGTGAGACAGAAGTGGCAGCAAAAATGATGACAGTTACGATCGATGGTCCACACAAAAGCAGGGACAAACTGCAGGCACCAAGACTTGTTTACTTCACAGGAGTACATTAAGTATGCCCATGACAGACGTACTGAAGTAGGAGGACTTACAGGAGACACAGCCATGTCCACTTGCGATCAAATGTACAGGCTGTCAGTGCACTGTCTCTGCACTGCAATCACTCAGGAGTAAGTCTCAGATTTCTCTGTTTGCCTAGGTGTTGACCTGTTGGACAAGGCATCGTCTGGGGTGTTCACAAACACTTAATTACAATTTGCATTATTTAAGCATTAGTGTGAATATTCCTATTTAGTCATATATATTAATACTATTTTATAATTCAGTATACCCCATGTGTTGTAGCGGATCTCCTAAATGCACCTGGATGGTGAGCTTAACTGGGACTTATTTTCAGGACAGTAGGGTCATATGAACATGATTTCTTCTTCAACTGACCCTGGGAGAACGTTGGTCAGGAGACAGAAGCATTGAGAAGCAACCACTTTTGGTTTCTCTTCAGACTGTATAAATCTTTTGCCTTTTACTGCAATCAACCATGTTTTGATGAAACAGATAAAAGATGAAAAAGATAATTTATAGAACTGAAAAGCTTTACTACTAAACCTAACACAAATAACTGTGAAAAATAAGAATACAATTACGAATCATTGTTTCTCAAGTTAAACAGAAACAGGAATAATGGTGCTAGTTTAACAGTCTATTATCTTTCTTTGATTTAGTGGAAGTTTCATTTGCATTCAAAGTCACACACACACATGGTTAGTTGCCTACTTTTTAAACACTGATTTATGCCAAGGTTGAGAGTTAAATCAAACAGTGACCTGCAGTAGTCTTTTAATATGGTCATGGCACCAGGAGGCAAATGAGTTCTTATTTAACATAATAAAGAAAAAAGCAAGCCACGGAGCTGTGGTGTTTGCAGCTCCTGAAGTAATGTGAGGCTGGGCTTGGTGGCACACACCTGTAATCCCAGCACTAAAGGCAGAGCAGGAGGATGGCCCTGAGTGGGAGGCCACCAAGTGAGTTCAAGGCCAGCCTGAGCTACATAGTGCGGCACTATCTCAAAAAACAGAAACAAACAGTAATTGAAAATAGTCCGTATGCTGCTACCTTTTAGAACCCAGGGCAGAAATCCACCCTAAATATAAATCATAGGTTTTAAACTGTCCCCCTTTTCCAGGTCTCTTTCGAAGACGTGGATCGCCTGAAAGGCCTGGCGGTCACCGAGAACATGCGGGTCCCGCACTTCCTGCAGGACCACGAGCGCTACATGGAGCACCTGGAGAAGATCATGGAGGTGAACGAGCTCACCGACGGAGAGCTGCGGGCCCTCATCTAGGCGCCCAGACCAGCCCGGCCCGCGGAAGTCACCAGCCAGGTGCGGCAGTGCCAGTAGATCACGAGAAGAGAGACTTTGGACTTGGGTTTTCTGAGAATGGTCCTCAGTGTTCAGCTGAATGTTTAGGCTCAATGCAGACAGACTGTTTCCCTAAAATGTTTCGGTGGGCTGCGGAGGGAGTTGTTCCTGCTTGCGTCCCAATCTCGGTGGAGCCCAAAGCGCCTGCTAAGTGTTTCCGGAGACTCCTGGTTGCATCACGCAGTGACCTACTGGGCGCTGAGGCTGCTCAGTGGAGCCAGCAAAGCCAGCCCTGCCCTGCACATGCCTGCGGAACTGTGCGCTCTCCTTGAAAACCCAGGCTTGCGTGCTCCACAAAGACAGCTACAGCTCAGATTTCTTACGTCTTTTATAAGTCAAGTAATGTTAAAGAGGGAAAGCAATTTGAAAAGTTATCCTTAAATCCTTTTATACATTATTATTTTTCCTTCTCAGCTTCTAGAAACTAAACTGGAAAATTGTGCATTTTGCCACCAATCTATATCCCCAGCCTCTGAAAATTGTCCCTTTTTGCCCAGTTCTCTCTTAACTAAACTCTTTTTACTTATTGAAACCTATTATACCCCTTTAAAACAAAGTTTCGTGGTTCTTTCCTCTGCATTATTGATAGAAATGTAAGTGTATGTTCTGCACAAATCAAAATGGTTGGAGGAGGGGACAGATAACCTTACCTAGAACCTAGGGCAAACTTGACCACGCACTAAAAAATAAAATCTCTAGGTTCTATTTCCCTACCTGGTCATCGGGACTTGTGACACCAACTTGCTGTACTTGACCCCAAGCTTTGACTTCATCCACCAGTGACAGCAGAGTGTGAATTCAACAGTCAGAGGTGTGTTTGCTGCGCGTCTCCCACCGTCAGCCTGCACACTTTGTAACTGGTTCAGTATATACTTGGCTGTGTATCCTGGCAATCAAATAGTTCTTTGCACAACTTGCTCTAATGATCTGAAAGGACGCTGCAGTGGCACCCATTCAGCATCGCCACTGAAATCTCTCCCCAGAGCTCCAAGAGCTTGTCTGTACCTCGTTCAGGCTAAACCACGGTGCTTACCCTGGTAGCTTCCCACTGCAAAGGTGGGTCCCTTTCGTGCTAGAAATGACTGTAGGAAATCTTGTGCAAGCTGGGGGGTGTGAGCTTTTTAGCCTTAAAGGAGGATGCTGCACACCCAGGACAGACCCTGGCTGGTGTCCACCAAGTCCTCCGGAGTGTAGAAAGCACCACCTTGTGCCAGCCTCACTGCCTGGCCAGCATTTCCACGTCCCGGGGGCAGTAGGGGTCATAGCACCTGCTGGTCACCTCGGGCGGGTATCCTTATGGCAGTCCTATTCTTTCAGCTTGGTTTAGTATTTTCTTACTTTGTCTTAAAACTCATCAAAGGTGACTGTGAAAACCGTGTGTTTTTAAGTATAGACAGAAATAGCAATACTGTACCTGTGTCCTGTGACTTACACCCAGATATTTGTAAATCCAACATAACGCAGGCAATAACACGGCAATAGTTTAAACTATTACATAGTGTAAATTAAAGAAAAATCACAGGAGCCTTAATTTCCTACTGGGATCGTTTGCAGTGGTTCTAGCCCCTGAATTTTGAAGTGGGTAGACACTGTCTTTGTCAGAACTGGAAAAAGAACTGCTTTCTTGCCTTATTGCTTTGGTATAAGGTTACAAAAATATGAGGATTCCATAGACAAAAAAAGACCTTAAATCACATTGCTTGTTATTAAGATATTTTACAAGTTAGCAGTGGGCCAAAAGTAGCTTCAGATTAGCAGAAATACTTCGAGTGCTTTCAGCTTTAAAAAATGAGCTTGAAGATCAAATTAATGTTTATTCTCTTTCCTGAAATAGAAAATATTTTGTTCCCCAAAATAAAAGTTTCAGTCAACACATAAAATTTTATTGACTGTACTTAAAGATCAAACTGATTTTAACGCTAATAGTTACCTGCTACACGATATGGATAATTAGGATTTCTTCAGTTTTTTTCATACAATTCTAACATATAATTGGATCAAATAAACATTTTGATACACTGTTGCTTTAATACTAGATGGATTTAAGGTAAAATTGTTCGGAAACCTGAATCCATAGTCATTTCTTTATATTGTCACTTTTGTAAGACTACTTGAAATTTCTACTGTGCATCTCTGGGTATTTTGTGTTGAGTTATAATAAAAAGAGGTAGCACTGAGGTTCCCAGGTAAAGTATGTGGACACAGACCGTGTGCATGTAAACTTCTGTTCTCTGAAAGCCAAATTATATTTTTATGGTGACCCTGCTTGTGTTTCACTGTGTGGTGATTACTGACAGGCATCAGTGAGTTCTGGGTCCCGTGGCCTCTCGAGGAGCACTGCCCTTGCAGCCCCCCCCCCCATTAGTCTGGTGTACGCCCAGGAGTGTGCGGGGGAAGAAGAGGAGGGAGGATGGCAGTGAGCTTTTGTTGCACAAACCTCTGTGCAGGACCTGCAGAGGGGCAGCAGGTGTGCTGAGGGCCAGAGGTCTCTGCAGAAAGAAGACAGCAGGGGACAGAGTCAAAGGGATGTGTGCTGCAGCCCCGGGTCCTGCCCTGTCTGAATCAGCCAGAGGCTGTTGCAGAATGGAGACTGCTCGCAGGTTTGCTGCTGCTCTTTGCAAGGCTTATGCTTGGAGCCTGTTTAGTCCAGGGAAGGGCAGGCCACGAAGGCAGCTGCCGGAGGCCTCAGAAGCCAGGTGGGGCTGGGCTGCAGCTCTGGTGAGCAGTGGCCTCTCAAGGCAAGGCCTTGGGTTCCATCCCCAGCACCAAAGGGCAAAAAGCTGGGGTATGCAAAGGAACCAACACAAGTCTGTTGGGACAGGAGAGGATGGGTGCCCTCACCGCCAGGCTGGTAAGAGGTCTTTGAACTCAGAAAGCCTGTCAGCTGCCGAGGGGTCTCACTCACCTGTGTTCACTGTCACTCTGCTTCCAAAGGAATTACTGCCTTGAAACTGGTGCCACAAGGTGGGAGACTGGAGCAGGAGCTCCAGGAATTAGTGGAGTTTTACTGGACAGTGGTTCCAAGGCATTGTCAAAGCTCTGTAGAACACCACCATGGGGATGAGATAAAGCAAAATAACCCTGTGTTCACGTAGACGAGTGATGCGGACCCTTTTAGAGCATGCAGTGATAACAGCTGGCTGCAGCACGCGTGCCACAGGTTCACCACCAGTGATGTATACCGAGGTTCCTTGTTTGGGCTGCTGTGTGTCAGTGGTTAGATACTAACAAGCAGAGAACAGCTGAGAACTGTGCGTTCTGGAGGCTGGAGTAGCATCCTTAGTGAATTTCTGGATGTCTCCACCAGAGGGACCCCTAGCTCTGTTCTGGCCCTGTCTTCCTGCTCTGGAAGTTTATCTTTGGCTGGACACTGCAAGTGTTGGCTCTCACTGGCTGAGCCCAGCACCTAAATCCTAACCTGTATTTTGGATTTCAAGCGAGAAAGATTGCATGTAGCAGGAGAGGTTTGTATAGCACTCTGCAGAAGGAGTTACTGAAATTTCCTGCCCACCTACTCCAAGATCCAGTTCTCCCTCGGTCCACTCTTTAACACTCGCTCTGACAAGTTTGTCATAAAATTCCGTGACATACTGGCTTGCAGTGGTGCATGCTGGTAACCTTACCTGTGCAAGAGACTGAAACAAAGTCAAAAGCTCAAGCTCAGCCTTGGTACTACTTGGTGCATGGGACCTTGTCTCAAAATTTTGAAAAAGTGGGCAAGGTATTGTGGGGGTGGTAAAGGCCTTGTAGAGCGGCTCTTCAGTAATACACAGGTGTGTGCATCGGAAGCAATGTATTGGGTACCAGCAGTTTGGAATTCAGATTCTGCTTACCAATCGTTACCTGAGACACTTCTCAGGAAAACAAGGTTTGCCTTTTTAGAGAAATGAGACAGGAGGAAGAGATCATGTGAAAAGTTACCAGATCCTGTGGCCAAAAATGTTTCTGTCCTCGGCAAATTCCAGTGTTGCACATGCTGAGGTCCCTGTGTCTGGGTTGTGGGCACTGCGGAGGAACACACAACTGCTGTCCTGCGGACCCCAGGCAGAGCCCAATGGCAGCCTCCCGCTGTCCAGAATCACTGGGTAACAGCACTCCAGGCTGGGGTCACCTGTGGGTGAAATGCTGAGGGTTGAAGGGGATCAGCACCCCTGTCCAGGGAACCATTTCCTGTAACTGGGCTCGACAGCAAACCTCCGAGAAGCCCAGGAGGTTGCCACATCTTCCCACAACAGCCTCAGGAGCCGAACTCCTCTCTGGCCACCCCTGAGATGCCCCAGGGCAAGTGTGAACAGATCCGACATCTATCAGGTGACTGCCTCTTCAGATAAATGGATGATAAACAGCTTTCAGCAACCCTGTTGTAAACTGAGACACCACTGAACATTTGTCAAAACCTAGAGGATGCCCTGCACAGAGGAACCTTGCTGTAAACCACAGACATGAGCTAATAATAATGTATGAGCAGCTATGACAAATGAACCACAGTAAGTTGACATTACTGCCAGGGTGGTGGGGATGGGGGCAGACAGCAGACTCTGGCCTCTGTGCCTAACTCTCCTGTAAAGCTAAAAGTGCTCTTAAAAACAAAGTTTATTAATTAACAGCAACAAAATACAGATATCAGTACCAAAAGTAAAGCCAAGCGGGCCAGCTAGAAAAAGATCACCTGCCCACGCACGTCATCACCTGCCCACGCACGTCCCAGTGGCCAGCACAGGTCACAAGCACAATGCCCAAGGGCCGTGGCCACTGCCTGGCTCCCAGCCTGTTGTAGTCAGGGGTTGTGAGGAGAGCAATTCGAATCAGAACCCAGAATTTATATTATTATTTTATGATGGTCACTCAGAGTTTAACACAAGAAAGTGCAGGAAATCTGTCTACAACACGAAAGGCACAGAATATTCAGCCATGGGCCTGGATCCCACAGCAATGTCCTGCATGAGTCCAGATGAAAACCTAGAGCCCATGACAATGCCTCCCATGAGTCCAATTGGAGGTCTAGAGCCCACAACGAGGACTCATGCCAGTCTCTTTTACAGATCTGCACTGGAAGGCCAAAGGTCAGTGGTGGAAGCTGGAAAGTCTATGCCAGCGGGGTGAAGGAGCTGTGCTGGTAGGTTGAGGATTTTACACTGGAGGCAAGAAGTCACTCAAAATAATCAGGGCTGCCCTGAAAGTTAACCACAGCCACCCTCAGCCACACGGAGGTCCTGAGCTCCTCCAACAATAAGAACAGTCAAGTACATGCCAGAAAGCCAGCACAACAAGTTTCTCCTGGAGATTTCACAGCACATGTCTTCCCCTCTGGAGCTAGGAGCCTGTGCTCCACGTAAGGACCACAGCTCCCCCAAAGTTAACCACAGCCACTCTCACTAACAAGGTCCCGAGCTCCTCTGATGACAAATGATCGAACTCACACTGGGGAAAGCTAGTCATGATGACTTCTCCAGGAGAATCAACAGCTCAAAACAGCAATATTTAGAAGCACCCACAACACCTCGCTCTTTTTCTCCACGTTTCTATTTATGCTGGCAACTTTCCTCAGGTGGAACATCTATGCTCAGCACCATTCTGATTTAATTCAGCTGGTGTTAAGTTGACCACCAGTTTTTAATCCATAACACAGCCACTGCCGCAAACCTCTCCAAAGGTCATGGATTTCCTCCCCTCCCCACCGCAGTAGGAAGCCTTTTCTGTCCAGGGCTTCGGTGCAAAAAGACATCCCTTAAAACAATTTGGGGCACCTGGCTGAACAATCCAGGTGAGGCTGTTTCTTCCAGGGGAGGCACCAAGAACACATGCTCTGTGGGGCGGTGTCCTTATGGCTCCAGGGATTCTGGATGCAGACTGTGGCTTTCCCCCAAGGAGGGACAGGAGCTGCCCACCTCCCATTGGTAGGAGACCTGCCCCATCCCCAGAAGGACAGAAGGGGCAGCTGCTCCCCAAGAGCCTCAGAGTGCTCCTCCCTGTGTCTAAGATGAGTGACATTCTCACCAGGACCCTATCACAGTCCTAGAAATTTTTTAAAAGGGTATCTTCACTATGGTGCACTGTAACCTTGTCCTCTGCTTTGCTCAAAAATCATGAGAAAAATTTCTACTACCTTTCAGCCTTTTGAAACTTGGTTTTGTGGCTGGAACATGTCTTTCACTGAACCACTGCGGGGCATAGAGATTTCTAGCTGCATCCATGATAGTTTACTAGGGACCAGAATTACCTTTCCACCTTAAACCTCTTAGAAAATAAACAAAAGAGGGCAGTATTCACTAATTGGAAAACAGTAACTACAACACAAGACAAATAAAGAAGATCGTAAAATGATGACATGAATCATGCTGGAATTTCCAGGTCACACTATAAAAGGAGAAACCTACATAAGAGTCCTTGTTGGTCATTCAGGACACAGTGTTTGAGAAGCGAAGGCAGTTAGAATTCCGGGGCACAGCACTGTGCTGGAGAAAGGCAATCACACAGGACATGTGGTGGGGTGGGGGACAGATGACAGATCTCCCGGCATGTGCAGAGGGTCACCCCGATGTACAGAGAGGCTTTCAGTATTCATTCCAAAGCTCTAGATTCCTTTTACCCCACCTAGTTCATCAGAGATCCCTTGGGCCAGAAGTATCCACAGAAATTGGAAATTTAAAGTTAAAGGTTAAAGAGGGAGCATTTACCCACAATTTCCACCAACCGAATCTTATTTTCCAATTCCAAACTATTCCATCACCAATGGTTCAAAATTATTTCTGACAGTAAGACATAAGCAAAGTGGTTTCTCCTTTCTTTTGATGAATAGCCAGAACTGTGTCACAAGTTCTAGCTTGTTATAGTTACAAGTGGCTCAGGGCAAAAAAGAATTGATACATGTAACTAACTGCTAGTAACAAAATCTGCAAAGTCTTAAATTTATTACTGTAGCATCTCAAAGCCCTACCAAAACCTCTGTTACAAGCACTGGAATGGCATTCTTCAAAACTTCGTCTAGCTTTGGTAACTTGACTAGGAATCTGAGTACTAAATTGACAAAAAGATCAACTGGATGATACCTATGGAATCTTGTGTTGTTACTCCAGTAATTATTACTTTATAGAAAATAATGTACGCAACGAGGTTATTAATACAATGATGTTTAGATGAGTGAAAATTTATATGGGTGAAAAACACCCATAGATCTTCACTTGTGTGGGTTATGAATTCTAAAATAATTAAAAGCACATCTAACTTCAAGTAGCAATTACATATATTAATTGTGCTTAGGTATTATAGTTTTTTTTAGTAATCTATGCAAGTGAAAGAAAAATAGTAGCTGCCAATATTGGATCCTTCCAACTAAGCAATAAATGTTAAGATCTAAAAATTGTTACTAACAACTGATTATATTTTTCATCAAACCCTCTTTCCCCTCATATTCATTTCTATTAATTGATAATATTGTTATCTAATCTTTCCTTTGCTATTCAGCCACTAGCTGTTGTGAACTGTATCAATTAAGTATTTCTCAAATATGTCTTTTTTTTTACTAGTGGTCTAATATGGGGATTTATCACACACGCAACACATGATAAAAAGTTTCCTTCTCCCAGTTCCCAGTATCTCCTACTATATGTCTAAAATACTTTCCCTAAAACACAAATCTAATACTGTAACTTGCCTATGGCAAGTCTTCAACTATTTTTTATTATAGCTAAAACAATTTCCAACTGCATTATCCAACTGTACTATCACACGGTTCGCACTCCAATATCAATAGAGCTGACATTATTCACAGTAAGTTCATATCATTATCTTCCTAAAATGCTAAATAGTTTCCTGCTTCAGTCAGCTAAATCCTATTCATCCTTTAAAGTTGTATAAAATTACTAAATCCTTCAGGTTTAACAAATTATTCCTGTGTGTAAAGGCACGTACCTGAGCACCCCCATGTGACTTGCAGTCCACCTCTAATGACTGTCCCAGGGCCGAGGGGCTGGGAGGGCTGGAAGGGTCCAGGAGGGGTGGGTAGGGGGCTGAGAGGGGTGGAGGGTTTGGGGGGCTGGGTGAGTTGGAGGGGAGGGGCCAGCAAGGGTCCAAGAAGGCATGAGGGGGTAGGACTTGGAAAGACAGGAGGGAAGGAAATATGGACAGGGAGAAAGGGGAAAGAGAGGGGCAAGCAGGGGGAAGGAGGGAGGGAGGGAGAGGGGGAGGACAGAAGGGGATGGAAGGGGGGAGGGGAGGGAGAGGGAGACAGAGCAGGGAGGGGGAGCGAGGGGAGGGAAGGGGAGGGAAAGGCAGCCGAAGGTACGAGGGCAGAGGGCTGGGCACCAGAGGCCAGTCACGAGGGGCCAGGCTGTGTTGCAGAAGTGGGGAGGTGCCCAGACAGATCACGTAAGTCAGAGAAGGGGCAGCAATACGGTCAAACAGGACTGGCTGGGGTGTGAGAGTGGTGGGTTCTCAGTCTCCAACCCGCCCAACCAACGACCATCTCCCAGCCTGACAGCCAAGCTTCCTACCTGTGGAATGGGAACTCCAGTCTTCACCTTCCTCTGGTTCTGGAGGGCGGCAGTGTGAGGCAGTCACGTGACTCCCTATGCTTATGCACTAAATACAGGGGTCACCTGGGGCAGAGGCTGGGCCTTGAAGAGGGTGGGGCGTGCTTCCAGGGAGGGAGCTGCCAGAGAAGGGCGTGGCCAGGTTCCCCTGACCTAACCAGCCATATCCTCCAGGGCCCCGTCCTGTCCACCAGACTGACCCCAATTCTTAGGGCACCATCAGTGGGCACATCAGTCAGTCACAGGTCTCAGGCTCCCTGCCCTCCAGACTGGGAGGAAGGTGGAGACTCAAGCATTGCTGCTCAGTAGGTAAGGAGCAACCTCTCTCCCTTGGCCTTGGTTCTGAGCTGGTTCCTGAGGTTGGAGCCTGAGGACACTCTCACACCCCCTGCCAACCCTCTTTATCTTGGTGCTGCTCCCCTCCCCCTCCTCCTGTGACCCAGCCTACCCCTCCCCCTTCTCATGTGACTTTCTATCTTCCTCTGCCTGTTTGCCTTCTTTATCCCCATCCCTGTCCTCCACCTTCCTGACCTTCCTGTTTGACCCTTCCCTCCCTTCCCCTCATCTTAACCCTTATCCTCTTTCTCCTGATGCCTCCTAGGACCTGCCTGGACCGTGTCCTTCCAACACCCCCAGCCCTCACCCCTAGTGACCCACATCAGTGACAGCCTGGGAAGGCAAGGTGGAGTCACCCAGGTACATGGATTTTGTGTCCACAGCTTTCAGAGCGTAGCAGAGCACAGTGTGGTGTTCTAGTTCAGGGTGAGGACTGTTTGCTGCCTTGGTCCCCACCCTCAGTCAGTCCCTGGGTTAGCTCATTTCTGAAGACCCCTTGCATTTGTCTGTCTGGGCCACTATCTTCTAGGACTTCAGCTCTCTGCAGCCCTCTCCCGAACTCAGGGGTGAGGGGCTGGGGATGTGGTTCAGTGGTAGCTCTTGCCTCGTGTACACAAGGCCCTGGGTTCTATCCCCAGCACAAAATAAGGGGGGAAAAAGTACAGTGTTAGGGTTTAGGATTATGGTTGGAAGGAAACGGTTTAGGGTTTGTGTTAAGACTTGGGTCAGTGGTGGCGAACCTTTTAGAGATGAGTCCTAGACTATAACCCAAAACCTACATGTTTTTCACAAAATTCCAGCCGTGCAATGAAATCTGAATTACTGAGGTTACAGAGAAAACAACTCATACATCAGCGTATGTTGTCTTAAAAGAAAAACAGCACATGGACCATAGATTCATAACCATTGGGTTAGACTTCAAGGCTTGAGGTTTAGAGAGAAGGCTTGGAGTAAACCCAAACATAGGGTAGGATGAAGGGGTGGTAGTGGGAGTAAAGTTAGGGGCTTGGAGGTGCATGTTAGGGTTAGGGGGTTAGAGTTAGTGAGATGTAGTGAGAATCAGAGGCGCAGGGTTAACATGGGGTTAGATGGTTAAGGTTTGTAGGGATTAGGATTGCTGTTAAGGTTTAGCATTAGTTCTTGCTCTGGTTATTATATCATGTAGGGCTGTAATTTTTAATGCTGGGGATTGTGCTGTTGCTTGACATATGGTTTGGACTAAGATTTACGGTCTTAAGTTTAATTACTTGCATTTAGGTCATGGTTAATACTGCATCAATAACTTGATGGGATTCCCAAAGAATAATACAATTCTCAGGTCCATTTCACTTTCAACAACTACTTTGCCTATGAGAAATATTCTTTTACCACTCATATCCACTTTTCTGTTTCAACTCATTCTGGGACTGTCTCTCATTACTGTGAGGTTGACAAGTGTAAAACACATGGACTTTTGCTTGAGCAACTATTTTCAGTTCCTTGGGCTATCTACCCAGGAACAATTAGTAAATTACCTGTCTACTCAACTTCTTGAGAAAATGCAAAACTGTTTTCTACAGAGGCTGCAACACATATAATGGCTTCACTTTCTCATCCTTACCTTGAATTATTTTGATGCAAGTTTCTATAATAGTGAAGAGGAGCCTCACTTACTTGTAATTTGTATTAACTTATCATGTGAGACATTAAATGTTTGGACCTCCAATGCAAGAGACAAAAGGAGAGAAAACAGAGAAAGAAGAAAAATAGGCCTTCATTGTGGGCATGGGAGGATTGCAGAACAGATGCAAGCACCCTCTAAGGGGAATAAAGAGAAACTGTGGGCTTTTATTCAGAATTGATAGGGTAGAGTTAAAGAGGCAGGTGGAGTGACGTATTGACAGCTGATTAGGGGACCATTTGTGCATGCTTGAAAAACAGGAGGTTCAACTTTCAGGTTATGCAAGAAGAACACTGAAGTCAGTGCTGAAGGGAGGTGCCGTCCAGCGCCATGTTGACTCGCAACGGGAAAACCCATCAGTCCCAGCTTTTGGTTGTTAAGGGATGATGTCTCTCTCTCTCTAGCTACTTCCTGCTGAACAGGGGTGTTGTAGTAGGGGCTATGATGTGACAAGGAATGACAAGTAGCTCCCACATAGAGGCTGGTCCCAGGGGGAGGTTCTCTAGTGGTGAAAGCTTGTATTCTGGAATGGATAAATCTTGAGGCTAGTTTAAAAACACAGGGCGGGGGTTTGGGGATTTAGCTCAGTGGCATAAGCGCCTGCCTTGCAAGCATGCAGTCGTGAGTTCAATCCCTGGTACTGATAAAAAGAAAAAAGACAAAAAAAAAAAAAAAAAAAAAAAAAAAAAAAAGCAAAAAAACACAGAGTGCTACAAGCAGGAATAAACAATTGTGATCAGAGACCTATGATAGGTACTACTATAGGTACCTATGAATCAAGGGAGGGCCATCAGGAGGAACATTGGGTAGTATTATACCCCTTGAGTTTTTTTTTCTATGTTTGCTGCCAACTCTTGAAGCTTATGAATTTGGCCCTTGACTATACCTGACTGGTTTACAAAAAAGCAACATTCTTCCCCAAACATAGCACAGGTACCATCTTTCTCTGCAGTCAGTGTATCAAGGGAGTGATGGTTTTGGAGAACAGCTGCTTCTTTTTTTTTTTTTTTTTTTTTACCAGTACCAGGGATCGAACTCACGACCACGTGCTTGCAAGGCAGGTGCTTATGCCACTGATCTAAATCCTCAGCCCCAGAAAAGCTGCTTCTAAAGAGGTAATATGGTCTTAAAGTGAGTCTATAGTTCTTGATACTTAATAGAGGTTTTTAAATCATAAGACAACTGAGTATAAAGAAAGCACCCATCCCAATTCCCCCCGCTCCTAAACCAATAGCTGAGAAGACACCAATCCCTGTGAGGACTGGAGCTGCAGCCCTGGATGACCTATCGTATATTGTGTGAGAGTTAATCTGTAGTCTTTGTATGACTGGATTTTGTTTGTAGTGTCACTTGTGGGGCCACTGCTGGCAGTGTGCAGGAGTCCTGCAGGCAGAAGAGAGACAGGTGAATACTCCAGGCCCACAAAGAACTGTCTGTACGGTGGGCACATAAGGCTGGTTATTTTTGTTATCTTTGTACATGGGTGCATGGCTCAAGAAACCACACTACAGGGGTACCAGTTTGTTCTGAGTGAGGGTTATAGGAGAGATTTTTTTGGGCCATAATTGTCGTGGTGCTAAAGCTAGAGGCCCACCAATTTGTGCTTGTGCCTATGTTTGAAGGACTAATATCTCCCAGGTGACTGGATATGCCATTCATTATGGAGGCAGGCAAAGCCAGCAGTTGGGTTGGACTCCTAGAGGAAAAATTGTAAGAGCTTGTATGTGTAGCAAGCCGTGAACATACTTGTTGCTTGATATTTGGCAATTAACCAACTGCCAAATACCAGTTTCCAACTGATGCTACATTTGGTAACAAAGCCCAAGTTGACCAGCACAGGCACTGTATGCAGGAACAAAACAGAAATTCCAAATGAAATGTTGTGATTTCAAGACAGAATTGTATAGTACAATCTTTGGATTTCAGAAAGATACAACACTGGTCTTGAGTGGAGCAGGATTGAAGGGAAGGGAGGGAAGTGGGGAAAAAAGCAGGAGCAAGATTTATCATGGTCATGGTGGTACATGCCTGTAATTCCAGCACTTAGGAGGCTGAGGCAGAGCACCATGATTTTGAGGCCAGCCTGGATACATAGTGAGTTCAAGGCCAGCCTGAACTACATGGCAGGACTCTGTCTCAAACAAACAAACAAGATATATCATGTACAGGTACAAACTCCCTATGATGAATATTATCATTATGTATATCTAAAATGTACCAATAAAATAAAAGTTCAAATATATATATATATATATATATTCTTTCATCTAGTTATGGGAACTCTGACAACCTCCCCTGTGCCTTAGTTTCCTAAACTGGAAAATGGTGATAATATTTAACTAATGTATCTAATGAGGATTAAGTAAGCTAACGCTGCTGAAGTCCTTAGAAATATATCTGGCATACAATAAGAGAAGAATAAACTTTAAATTTAACATTTAAAAAATTGGCCTCATCTATGGCAAAGCAAAGCAAACTGGTGTTGCTGATGTCAACACTGCACCATGATGGAAACTGACAAGGAAACTTCAACAGAGCAGAAGCCCGAGATGGCAACTTTCTACAACAAAACCAAAGGCAGAGGAGATGCTGAAGCGTTACGAGCAGCTATGACGTCACTGGAAACACAAAGTGTTGACCAATGATTGCATTTTACTCAATCCTAACCATGTGTGGCAGAGTTTGATAGTTAACAAAGAGAATAACAGGTGCAAAATATCACTTAGAAATGTTCTTAATGACTGGGAATGGAACTTACAAGAGATCATTTATAGCAGAGGAAAAACAAAATGTTTCTGTCCAGGGAACTATGCAAAAAAAAAAAAAAATTGTGGAACACACTGGTGAGCTGACAGGTGAACAGCCAGATGCAGCATCACAAAAACCTACTATGATAACAGGAAAACCAAAGATCATACCAATGTGTCTTACAGGAAAGGATAGGAAAACAGAGCATATGTGTCATCAGTGTAAGCACCACTTGTGCATGGAACATGCAGTTGGCATGAAGGAAGCCTTGGGTATGAGTTAGGCAAAGATTTTTTTCTGTGGTGGACGTTTGTATTTGCATTGTAGTTCACATAGGTTTTATTTCTGATGTTATCTTTTAGGTTTTATAAGAAAGCACACAGGTGATGTAAAAATGTTGCTAATGTAAGCACTCATTACATAATTGATGTTTTGTTTTACTGATATCTTATTCTTCTGAGTGCACATTGTACAAAGCTCCTGACAACAAAGGAAGACGAGAGGTAATAAGAATGGCCTGCCACATAGGAAAGGCAAGCTAAGCACATGTGCTGTCGGTGTAAGCAAGACGAGTGCGTGGAGCATGCAGTTGTCATATGTGAAGACTCCCTGGGGCGATAATTGAAGCAAAGGTTATTTTAGTTGTAGAGGTCTATCGATATTTTTATTGTAGTTCAGAATTTGTTAAATTTTAGATTTTGTAAGTAAGCACACAGCTAATGTGAAAATTTTGATGTTTATTCAAAACATGCAATTCACATAAAGAATTTAATAGTTTATTTTATTGATAGTTTATGTTCCTATCAGCCACACATTGCATAATACAGTAAGAACCTGATAAAACAGCAAGACCAGCAAGATTTCAAGAGTGTCCTTCAAAAAGGTCAGGAAACTAAAATACATGTGCTATCAGTGTAAGCAATACATACGCATGGAACATGCTGTTAGCATGTGTGCAGACTGCCTGAAGTGTGATAATTGAAGTAAATATTATTTTTTTGCAGAGTTCTATTGGTATTTTCATTGTAGTTCATATAGGGATTTATTTCTGTTATTTTTTAGACTTTGTACACCAAAAAACAGTCAATGTTGAAAATTTTGGTATTTTTATAAACAATAAATATTAAAAATTCAGTACTTTATTTTCTTGATTTTTTTCCTGTTAAGTACTCACTGTTTAATATAAAACTCATAAAATCAAAATCAATATTTCAGCAATAGAAATATTCTAAAGGATAAACATGGGTGTTATACACCCATGATAATGTGCTTTTATGACAAAATTGGTGTTACGTTCCTTAATATTGGACATAAAGTTGATACATGAGTGTGGGATTGGAGTCTGGTATCACCTATTCCATTGCTGGGACACAGTGCCCAACACCCACAACATGGAGGAGAGGCTTACTTTGGCTTACGGTTCAGGAGGTTCCGTCCAGTTGCCCAGCTCCAAGGCAGGAACATCGTGGCGGAAGGGTGCGCGGCACAGGAAAGCTTTTTACCTCATGGCAGCCAGGAAGCAGAGCAGGGAAGCAGCACCAGAGGGGAAAGGACTGGGGACCAGGCACAGACCCCCAAGGTCACGGCTCCATGTCCCACCCAAATACACCCACGATTGTGTTCCACTAATCTCCCTAGTGGGTCCCACGCTAATCACACTGACCCTCTACCCTGACCGCCAGAGTCCCCATCCATTTCCTTACTGGCTGGGTGACCTTCAGAAGGTGTAAAGTCAGCATTAGCATCCTGGTTTCACGGGGGCAGTGTCATGAAGAGCCAACTCCAGCCCCACAGAAGTACCCTCCTGTCTTGAACACTCAGGTTGAGCTTCCTGCGTACTGAGTGAGCACCCAGCCATCCTTCACTGTTTGCAAAGGAAAGGCTCCAGGGGTCCTCCCTCAGGGACACAAATATCCATTCATGATCATGTCCCTTATATTAAATGGTGTAACACTTCCCTGGAAAGTACTTACAGCCTACTTTATTATTATTTGAGACAGGGCCTCATGTTGCCCAGGCTGGTCTGGAACTCCTGGACTGAAGTAATCCTCCTGCCTCAGCCTCCTGAGTAGCTGGGACTATGGGCATCTACCACCAAGCCCAGTATCCCATAAATTTAAATCATCTTTAGATGGCTTATGATGGCTAATGCAGCAAAAATGCTATGAAAATAGTGGTGATACTGTATGATTTAGGGGATGACAAGGGAACAAAAGCCTGTGGGTTTAGCATTTATGTAATTTAAAAAATGTTTTCGATCTGAGGTTGGCTGAGTCTGTGGATGTGGAAGCCAACTGCGAATTCCTGTGGATCTGGATGGCTGTGCATCACTCAGAACAGCAGAGGGAGCCTCTGGGCTTGGAATTTGATGGCAAGCAAAAAAAAAAAAAAAAAAAAAAAAAAAGCATTGTCCTGGGCACAGAATTCCTGTTCTCCAGGAAGAGCCCAGAAGTGTGGCTGCACGGTCTATCTAGCAAGGCAGCCAGGGCTGAGCGGGTGGCAGGTGGCTCTGCAGGGCTGCAGACAGGACATGAGGGGCAGCAGGAGGAAGGACCTGGGCACCCTCGCGTGGCTTGTGGCGAGGGTCTCACACTGATCGCAGCCAGGCAGGTTCATCTGTTTATTTTTTCAAAACAAAACTAAAAATCACCACTCAAAATCCTTGAGAAGAGTGCTAATCACAGTTAAAAGCGTTCTGCCGTTTGCAGCTGTAACAATGCTGCATACTGGTGGGCCAGAAATGCCGGGAGCTGGTGGCCTGGAGGCCATCTCTTCTCCTCTCTCCTCACTACTCGGCTTCTGTCAGTCTGTCATGCCATGCCACCAGCCCGGTGACGGATGGCCAGGCTCTTTCTGCTGAGCTTGATGTGTCACACTGTCCGGGCTCCTAAGATGACTCACATGGCCGCTCTGGAGAGGTCTTCAAGCACAGCCATCCCCCAGCGGGCTGTGCAGACATCCCAGGAGGAGGTGAGAAGGGCTCTTCGCTCCCTGCTGTGCCCTCCCGGGTCACAGGGGAAGAAACCACTTGGCTGTCATCATCGCTCCTGCTTGATGTTGGCTTCGCTGCGCTCCAGGGTGACCCCACCGCTGTCCCGAGGCCCGTCCTTCTTGCCCCAGTCCTTCTCTGTGTAAAACTCGGCCAGCACAGGGCAGTGCTCGGAAGCCACTCCACCCCAGGACCAATTATCTGGGATCCATGGGCTCGTGAGTCCTTCTCTGACCACGGCCCAGTGACCTGGAGGGGAGGGGGACACCCGGAAGTCAGGGCAGGAACATCGGGGTTGCACGCTGTGCTGCACACCCACACACACACACACACACACACAGGAGCTTAGGCAACATAACTTCCCACACAAACAAGGGTTCGCCCGTTAGGCATGGAAGATGTCCAGAGGCCAGGTCTCCTGCTCATCCCCACACAGCGACCAGCCAACATCCTTCACGAACTGCTACTAGTTTGACCAGCAAAGTAAGTGAGCCAGGTGTGGTGGTGCCCATTTATAACCCCAGCACTCTGGGTGGCTGGGGTGGGAAGGTCACAAAGTCCAGCCCAACCTGGGAAACAATGAGGCCCTGTATCAAAATTTAAAAAATAAAAGGGCTAGGGATATGAAGGCCCTGGGTTCAAAGCCTACTACTGCAAAAACAAAACCAGGAAGTACTTCACAGGGGGTCAGATGCTTCAGGAGGATGGCCCCAGCCAGGGTCTTACTTTGTAAAACAAAAGACACCAAGGTAGAAATGGAGATGGTGAATTCTTTCTACAGAAAATGTTGAGAAATTTAGGCTTAGGAGAAAGGAAAAGCACTTTTAAAAAGGTAAAGACTTAGAAACACATAAAGCAGGAGGACTATCTGATGGCAATTAAATGACAATTTCAGAAGTAATGACAAGCTGTTACTGGCACTGCTGGGTCCTTGGACCTGAGGGCCATGAAGGGCAGAGTAAGATCCGCAGGGTGTGGATGGCGGTTTGGGCTGGGGACAGAAAGTTCTCTCCCTCCCACCCTCCTCCTCTCAGTCTGTCTTGGCCTCTGGGGTGCTGGGTCCCTGCTCTGAGGACGTCCCTGCCAAGTCCAGCAGGAAACCAGAGGCCAGAGGAAGGGGCTAAGGATGGCAGCCTGGCTGCTGCATGTGAATGTGGCACTGCTCTTTCTATTTTTCCATTTCTTTCTGAAGTTTAGTACAGATCCGCTGGGACTTTGTAACACACTCTTCTCCTCTTTCATCAAAGACCCTACCTTGGGCTGGGACTACAACGCTTGTCTAGCATGTGCGAGGCCTTGGATTCCAACCCCAGTGCCACGGCGTCCCTGATGAAGGGTCAGTGACCACAACTTGTAAATACCCACGAAAGAGGTAACCTCCGTCAGACAGGACTCCAGCCCTGACCCTACTTCAGGATGGGAGGAAGTGGGGGTGAATTTTGCCTTCCTTACCTGTGAACACCTTCTTTAGGCTTTTGCTGATCCAGATGTTGTCCAGGGATTTGGAGCCTTGGGGGTTTCTGGTGCTGATGTTGGTGAAGGTGTGCGCGGGGACGAGGTGGTGGAATTTCTCTTTCCTCAGGATGTCGTAGTCACTGCTATCTGGCCCTTGGCCAAAATCTCCTAATATGATGACATCTTTTTCTCCTAGAAGTCAAAGGAAGAAAATGAGGAATTGAAGAGCAAGTGGAAGCAAAACCTTGGTGCAAAACCAGGGAAGGGGAGTCCCTGATTTCACTCCTCAGGCTGAGGGTGGCAGCTCGGTGTCATCAGATGTCTCCAGGTTTCCTGGGCTGCCCCCTATTCCCCCAGTCTTCAAGGGCTGGGCTGGTGCAATACAGAAGCCACCAGTGTTCAAGTTCATGGGACCAAAGGCACAGTGCGGCTCAGGTGGGAGGGGCCTGGCACGCTGTAGGGGTTGAGGGAGGTGCCACCTCACTCCTGAAAGGGGTTCCACTGCAGAGGCGCCCCTGGTGTGTACCCTCAGCATCCCCCACAGCTCTCAGGGGCTCTGTGTGTGGCCAGCCTAGGAAGCCACCTCCAGCACTGCAGTGGACACACACAGAGATGTAAGGGTAGGGCCTCCCGCTGTGTCTCTCCACCTCAAAACAACAGGCCACCATGCTGACCCACTCAAGCCTCTTCCTATATGTTCAGTAGTAACATTTTATAGGCTTCTTCCTCTGTCCTCCTCCTCCTTCTTGCTTTTCTGAGACAATCTTGTCACTTTGTAGCACAGGCTGGCCCTGAACTCACAATCCTCCTGCCTCAGCCTCCCAAGTGCTGGGATGACAGGTATGTGCCACCATGCCCAACCCAATTTTGTCCCTTTATCACCAGATTTTTCTTTTTCTTTGGTACCAGGAATGGAACTCGTGACCTTGCACTTGCCAGGCAGGCCCTGAGCCGCTGAGATAGGATCTTTATTTTCCTTCTATTTCCTTTCTTTCCCCCTCCACACTGCAAACAAGATGTTTATTTAAACAAGACATTTGACTTAAAAGGGGAAACTATCTGGATTCTCTTTTAAAGAGTAATTTACCCTACTTAAAGACAGATCACCCTGCGTGTAGCAGCTATGTACAAAAAAAGTCATAAAATTGTCCGTGGTTTTACAATGATAAATGAAAAACATTAAATAAGATATGCAAGGATTTTTATGTTGTTGTCTTTTCTGTTGAAACAATCAGCAAAATAACTTATTGGAATCAGATCTGAAACACCAGAGCTGAACAGCATGCTATTAACTTTGCAGGAAGGGCATTACTGTCATAGAACCAGTATGGTCCCTGTCACAATTCCATCTGAGGTCAATCAAAGCGTACTGCTGGCCATTTGGTTAAACTATGCAATGTGCTAAACTGTACTCTGGTGGTCAGGCTATGGTAGAACCAAACCGTGGTTTATTATTTTATTTTATTCTTTTTTTTTTTGTGCTGGGGATTGAACTCAGGACCTTGTACCTGTGAGGCAGGCATTGTACCAATGAGCTATATCTCCAGCTGAAAACTGGTTTTCTAATGGACAGTGCATTGTTGGTCTTTAAGATCGGAGTTCCTGAACGAAGTTGTCATAAGTTCCTTGTTCAGCCTGCACCACAGTCTGAAGCTGGAACACAGTCATTGCATCTTTGTCCTTCATTTCCAGCTGTGCACCTGTCTGTTTCATAGCCTGGGTGCCCATCAGAGCAGAATCCGGTCTTCCTCACGGACAAGCCGGCCACTTACTCGGGCTCTCACTGGGTTACCCAGCTGTGTGTGCCTCTTCATCCTAAATGGCACCACCTAACATCGTAGACAGCTGAGTTAGGTAGAAGTATTACAGGCAACCAGCCAGGGCGATGCGCTTGAAGGAGCCGTGCAGAAGATAAGAACACATTACAGCGTGGGTGGAGGTGCATTTGTTGAAGGTCAGGTCTCGAGATAAAGATGGAATGACTGCACCTACATACCTCCCCGAGGGGTAAACAGTACACTGTCAGGGATACTCTAAGTTAGACATCCAGCATCCAGGTGGGGGACCAGGGCCTCCCCACTCATCTCTTCCACAAAGCTCTTTATTCTTTCCGTGCATATTTTCTACGTGACTTGCTTCCTCACTAGGTCAACATTACCTGAGTGGCTATATTTGTAATATCAGTTGATCACAGGGTAGTCCCATATTGTACCCACTTCATGAGAGCAAAACCTATACAGAGCAAAATCACTTTGCCAAGTGGCTTATTGGCAGCGTACTTTCCAGGTCTCCTCCTGTCTCTCTCAGGGGCTGTCTTTCCCTCAATAAAATTTCCTACCATAAACCTCCGTGGTTCCTTAGAATGCATTCTTTGCTTTCAGGGTTTCACACGACTTTTGCGTGGCAGGCTGGGAGTGAGAGCATTTCCCTGTATCATGGAGAGGTCCTGTCTCATAACCATCTCGCCTCACCTCGCCTCGTTCAAATTGACGTGACCACTGCCCTGGGGCTTGACTTCTTCCTTGGCCCTAGCAATCGCCCAAGAGTCCCCAGCTTCTGTTTCACAGAAGAGGGACAAGGTCCTCACGGAACCAGCACACAGGCAGCACCAGAGCGGTGGAGGAGAAGGTGGCAGCGGAGGAAAGGGACAGGGTGCCCACATCTGCGTCCCCTCCCCAGCCTGTGTGCCCCTTCCCACTTTTTCCTCCCTTAGCCAGTTCTCAGCATTCTTTCCCTGGGGCCATTTTTTAAAATTTGAAGCATCACCAAAGGGATGATCCTGATCTCTAAGAGCAGTGGCACTTTGTCTCCTTTCCTTGAATTCTTCATTTCACATTATTAATCAAAGGAACGAGGAAGAAGAGGGCCAGAGAGCTGAGGACCAGAGCAGGGAATGTGGAAAGCAGGGCCTGGCCCAGCTCTAAGGGGAACAACCAGCGGGGTGATTTTGAGATGGAATCTGGGCTCCACCCCACTCAGTGCAACTCTCTGGTCCAGGAAACCAGGCACACAAACCCTTGCCCACAGTTCTGTCCGGATGGGGTGCTGCTGGCAACTTGGGGCCTCCTGCTCTGAGCCCCGGGGCCCTGGGAAAGGAGGGTTTGCCTGAGAGACACCGCCCCACATGAACAATTTGTGTCTAAGTAAGGAGGACAAAGTGAGGTCCGGCCAGAGTGGAAAGCTTTTCTCTTTGAAGTATTCTAAGCATTTCCTCCACAGCCAGTTGTCCTGCCAGGAAGCAGAGCGCTTAGAAAGTATTTTCCAAGAAAGGGACTGGGAATTCTGAGAGGACAGTGGAGTCCAGTCAGGCTCTGCAGGATGTCCACAGCTCCGCCCGGCCCTTCTCCTCAGGCGCACCTTGTAAATGAAGCTTTTGGCAAAGCAGTTAATCTGTGACAGTCATGTGTGGTATAGCCCCTGAAATCTGGGAAGCTGAGGCAAGACCATGCAAGTTCAAGTCCAGCCTCCCTAGCTTTAGCAAGACCCTGTCTCAAAATAAAAAGTAAAAGGGGCAGGGCATGGTGGTGTACACCTATAATCTCAGCACTCAGGAGGCTGAGGCAGGAGGACTGTTGCAAATTTGAGGCCAGATGGGGTTACACAGTGAGTTTGAGACTGGCCTGAACTACATAGTGAGACACTGTCTCGAAAAAAAACCCAAGCTAAACCAAAACAAAATAAAGGGGTGGGAACATAGCTCAGTGCAAAGGCCCTGAGTGTGATCCCCAGTTCCTCAACAGACAAATAAATAAACAAACAAGCAAGCAAACACCAACTGAGACTCCTGGCCAGTCTTCCTCCTTAGCCTGATGGTGCTTCAGGGAGAGGGAAACAAGCAAAATGCAATGCCAGGAGTAAGCAGCAGAGGGCAGGCACACGCTGCGGGTGGTGCCTCCTAGAGTTTGGGACAAAGGTCTGGATGAGACCCCTGCAGCTCCTGTGCAGCCTGCAGGCTGGGTCTCATGCTGACTGACTGGGTGACCCGAGGACCCAGTGGAGCCATGTTGGTGACCTCATGTGCTGCGCACCAGGCTGACTGCTTTCAGACACCACATCCTGGGACTTCCGAGGCCTGGGCTTGGGGCCGAACGTCTCCTTTGCAGGCCAGGAGCGCAGGGCAGTGTAGCTCAGTGTGCTGCCCACGGTCATGGGCTGTGGCTCGTGCTTGCATTGCTGGAACCTGGTGCATTTGCTGCACAGACACCAAATCAGGAGACAGGCCCTCTGTGACTGCGAGACGGTGCAGAGGGTTCCTGCGGCACAAAGCTTTCCTGGGTACAGACCCGAGAAGACGGCTCTGAGACACAGGAGACAGGCAGCTCTGAGTGACCACAGGATATCACGAGGTTCTCCTCTGGGATGGGTTTGCTCAGGTATCTCAAAACCATTTTCTGCCCTTTAGATCTGCATCACTGATGGCACAAAGGAAGCTTTCTGTTTTTTCAGTGCTGATTGTTAAATCCAGGTCCTTGATACTGAGCTACATCTCCAATCCCCTTTTCATCACTGTTTTTGACAGAGAGCCTTGTTGAGTTGCTGGGCTGGAACTTGTAGTCCTCCTGCTTCAGCCTCTTGAGCACTGGGATGACTAGCATGTACCTCCATGGCCGGTCTTCGCTCTGAGCATCCGCAGAGATGGAGAAGCTTGGATTCTCCTCCTGGATGCCACTTGCAGGAAGTGCGTGTGGAGGAGGGCTCTGTCACTTGTTCTCTCATTTCCTGGAAGTAAAGGGGGACACTCGGGCCTTTTTTTCAGCCTTCTGTAGTGCCAGTGCCGCCTACCACCCCTGCCAAGGGACCAACCTGCCAGGGCTGTGGGCCCCAGACCTCAAAGTGGAAAATCCCCCTGAGGACACAGCAGACCGCGGCCGCACAGTCCAGGGGAAGGCAGAGAGGCTCAGGGTCACGAAGGACTCAGCTGCCATTGGCACAGCAGGAAGAAGGCGTTGTCTCCTCTGCTGATTAATTCAGCCTGGTGGTGCCCGGCAGGAGCTGGCACTTCTTGCACCCTCTGGCCTGGGGGTCACAGTTAACAATTAATTGGCTGTGAGTTACAGGCAGGGGACACAGAGCACAGGTCACTGACCCTATCTGGATGCCAGTCTGCGGTCAATAGTTTCTTGGCAATTTAGCAAAGTAACCTGCTGAGGCTTCTGATGAAAACCTGGCCACCCCCTGGGTACCAGGGGAAGGAAGGTGAGGGGCTGGCTTAAGGCCCTGGGGGGGTTAGCAGCTTTCCCTTCTGCATCCTGGAGGATAAAGAATTCAGACTGTGATGAGCTATCAAGTCATCGTGGTTTTATTTTTGTTTTTCATGATGCTGGAGGTGGAAACCAAGAGTGCTCCACCACTGAGCTATATGCCCAGCCCTTTTTATGTTTGAGACAGGGTCTCTGGGATCAAATTTGGGATCCTCCTGCCTCATCATCCCAGAGTAGCTGGGACTACAAGTTTGGGCCACTAGAGGTGTGTGCCAAGTCATCCATTGTAACAGGTGACAGTGACTGTGGGTGAACACAGACACCCCTGGACGGGGCACCTTAGGGACTGACTGACTCTTTAGTCTACAGAACACTGTGCTCCTAGCAGCATGCTTCCCCACAGCCCCGAGCAGGTGCAGTCCAGGAGCTACCAACAGATGAGCAGGTGAACAGTGACATGTGGTCCGTAAGGACAGTGGAACATTCACTGTTCAACCTTCGAAAGGACGGGAGTTCGGATACACACTGCCCAGCGGTGAACCGTGAAAATACAAAGGCTACTAAAAACATACAGTATGTGTTCAAATTAAAGCATTTACTATAGGGAAAGACACACTGCTGTTAATCCCATCAAGGTATCTAATCCCCCCCCCACACACACACACTTATCCCATGGTTCTGGCCACTTTCTGAAGCAGCTCTGCAGTCCTCTTCCATGTGTGTCTTTATGAGGTGTGATAAAAAACATACTGAGTGTTCCTGGCCAGTGCCATCCGAAGGAAAGGCAGGCAGGTAAAAATGTTAGTGTGCCTCATCTACCCAGTCACCCTGTCTGGCACTGAGAGGCTCTGGCTCTTCCCCAAAGCCAAAATGACCACAAAAGGGAAATGCTCACAGTCAGTTCCAGACATCAAGGCAGCCAACAGCGGAATTAACTAGAGACACTCAAGAAAGGGTCTTCCAGAACTGCTTCAGAAAGTGGCGAGAATAGTGAGACACGTGTGCCCAAAGTGAGGGCTATTCGTGGCAATGTGTTTTTACTGTAATAAAAATGTTTAAACCTTCACTGTAGTTTTTAGCTACACCTCATATTATGGTAAGTGAAATAAGCCAGACCCCAAAGGACAAGTCCTGAGTGCTTCCCACGAAGTGAACGGTCCATCCATGGAGACAGGAAGCCAGGCAGTGGTTGCTGGGGACAGCTCGAGGTGGGAAGGGTGGGGAGTTCGAGTTTCAGGGGCCCCGAGTCCCAGCTGGGAACACAGGAAGGTTCTGGAGACGGAGGGTGGGGACAGAGGTACAACAGTGTAAATGGATTTACACTGCACACTCAAAAATGATTCAATGGGTACATTTCAGGTCATGTGTACTACAACGAAAGCTTTTCAACGAGAAGCTCACAGTTTGACTGGAATATCTTTGTAGCTGAGTCTGTACTGAACCTCAGGGTAACATGGAGACATCTCTGAAGGCTAAAAACATGGGTGGAGAAGAGAATTCCAGGGCTCCAGCGGCCAGGCCTCAGCCAGAGGCAGCGGATCATCATGCCCATCCTCCTCACTATCACTACGGTCCTGCCATACCTGGTACCAAGGACAGAAACCTGGGCCAGGAGGGCAGAGCCCAAGAAGGTTCTGCCTTTCTCCTCAAGGTCCTGCTCCTTTCAATTTTTTTTTTTTTTTGGTGGTACTGGGGTTGAATCCAGGATCTTTGCACTAAGTGACATCTCCATCTCTTTGTTTTAGTTTGTCTGTCTTGAGACAGGGTCTTGTATGTAGTTCAAGTTGGCCTTGAACTCACTATGTAGTGCAGGTTGGCCTCAAACTCTCAGTGATCCTCCTGCTTCAGCCTCTTGAGTGCTGGAGTTACATGTGTGCACCACTGTACCCAGCCCCAGCTCTGTATTTTGAAGTTTTATTTTGAGAAAGGATCTTGCACAGTTGCTATATTGCCCAAACCAGGTTTGAATTTATAACCTCCCTGCATCCACCTCCTAGAATGCTGGGATCACAAGCATGCACCTTCATGGCAACTCTTTGTATTGTGTATTCTTGCTGATAGCCTTTCTATCTTGGGTGAGATGGAATCTCAGTGTAGGTTTGGTTTGTATTCTCCTAATAGCTAAAAATGTTGAACATAAAAGATATTTATTGACCATTTATACTTCTTCCTTTGAAAAGTGTCTATTCCATTCATTTGCCCAGTTTTTGACAGGGTTATTTTGGAGGGGTTAGTTTTGTTTTATGTTGTCTGCTATACTGGAGAATGAACCCAGGCACTTTACACTAAACTGCATCTTTAGCCCTTCTTTATTTTTAGTTTTAGACAGAGTCTTCCCTGGTTGCTAAGTTGCTCAGGTTGGGCTAGAACTTACGATCCTCCTGCCTCAGCCTCCAACCTGAATTCTAATTCTCCTAGTGTTTTAGAATTGACTTGGATACCAAGCCCCCAGATTCCTTGGTGCTTCTCTCTGTGTCCTCCTGATCGTACAGCAGAGGGGGCCTGAAGTGGGTGGGGAGTTTGAGCTCGACAGCCACCCAAGGGGCAGAGATTAAAATCTGTATACCACCGGGAAGACTCAGTTGGTTGCTAACAGGAACACACCTTCCCCATGCACTCCTGTCTTTCACAAGAGCAGGTAAGCACTAAAGGCAGCCCCAAGGGGATGGGTCAAACAAGCTGTCACAGGGAAGGCATCTTCACTTAGATTTGCCCCCCAATTCTTTCCATTCACATAAGGCAGACAAGGAATGAAGCCAGCACCAGCACACATGTAATATCCACAGAGACAGAGACGGGCCATGACCAGGGTCAGCCAGGGCGTGTGAGAACCAGGTATGTGATTGTCCCCTGTCCCCAAGGCTTGCTCTGCTGACAAATGGCTGGCCTTGGTGGCCTGGGGTGACATGGTGTATCCTGAGCTGCCCACCTTGCAGAATCATGGGCTGGCCTTGGAGAAGGACCTCATCCTACCTTTCAGGGTGCCCTGCAGGGTCTGTGCCAAGCTTGCCAGGCGGTGGCCGTCACTGGGATTCTTGCTGGGATTCTCTGTCACCGGGAGGCTCAGGGCAGCCAGGTGAAGGTTCACGAGGGTCACTTCATTACTTCCCACCTGGGCAGCCAGAGACAGAGCAACAGGGAGGGGCTCGCACCGCTTCCTGGATGCACCATGTGCAGCTCAGAGACCCTTCATGCACACAGCAGACCACAGTGGAAGCAGGGGAGGCCTCAACTTCAGTTCCTGAAGCCCAACACTTGCTTGGATGGGACCTGTACTGTACCAGCTCCCCGGCCCCCTGCAAAACTGGCCAGAGCTGCTGCATGTGGCAGGGCCTGATTTATTTTCTTCCCTTGTAAACAACCAGGAGAAACAGGTGTCTCTAGTAGCCCACCTTAGCAAGGCTCCACCCTAGTCCAGGCGCACCCCATCACCACCACGAGAGTTCCTGTGCCCTTGAAGCCCACTCTGTCCTGATGAACTCTGATCACGGCTGGGCAGCAGGGGGCGCACACAGGGGACACCCAGGCAGACATTGGCCTTTGATTGTCAGGGAAACCAAAAGTAAATATTGCAAAGAAAGGAAGGATGTGGACCCCAGGAAGCAGAAGTGTCAGGCTTGTCTGGCTGACATGGCCCCAGACTGCCACCGCTGGACCCACAGTTCTGCCGCTGCTGTCCTGACCGCAAGGGGAACCTCCTTGTGGCTGGGCTGCGCATGGGGTCAGAGCATTTCTTTTCATCTCCTGTTCTTTCCTCTTCTCTTTCCAGCACAGGGCTGGAATGTGGGGCCTCACACATGCTAGACAAGCACTGCACCTCTGAGCAAGGTCCCCAACGGTCCTGTTCCCGCACAGGACCTGGGGATTTAGCTCAGTGGTGTAAGTCCCTGCCTGGTAAGCACAAAGTCGTGAGTTTGATCCCCAGTACCAAAAGAAAAAAAGAATAGAACAAAATTATTGGGGCTGGGGATCTGGCTCAGTGGCACAAGTGCCATGTTGGCAAGTACAAGGTCTCAGTACCAAAAAAAAATAAAAAAAAGATGACCTACTGGGCTGACTTCCAGTAGGTCCCGTAGTGAGAGTGTGCAGACAGCTTGGGGGAGACCACAGGCTGGGGCACGAGAAGTGTCAACTGTCAACGGGCATGACAGTGATGACAGTGGACACCCTAGTGAGTGCACACACCCACCTCATGGTCTTATAGCCAGAGGGTGAGAGGGAGTTGTGGCTGGGGTCCCTAACACAGGAGATGCTCTGTCTCCTGCCAGAGATAACCAAGCTGGGCTCAGGCTGGGACAGGGTACACAGGTAAAGAAGGGGTCACTGCACCAGGGGACACTTGGGTGCCTGGGCTGTGGTGGCCAAGCACCTAAGGGGAGGGCTCGCTGTCACTGGACTGTCACCCTTCCCTGTCTGGGCTCTAGTGCTCTGCTCTTATTAGTGCCCCAGGGGGTTCCAGGGCCAGAGGGACAGCATGATGCGGGGAGGCTCTGCTCAGCTGTTCTCAGACAGAGCTGCCTTGGGCCTCCACCCAGACCACCCCAAGTCTGCTCCAGATGCCAACAGCCTCTCTGGGGGCCACTGCTCCTTAGAATAAGGGAGAGGAACCTGAAGAGTCCTTGAGGAAAAGGGCTCTGCAGAGTAGACTGCTGCCCTCGACCCAGCCATTCCCAGATACCCGGCCTCACTAGCCAGTTTCACCTGGCCAAGGGGCTGCAGAAGAAGTCTTTGAAAGACAGACTGTCCAGGGCTCTATCGAAGAAACTGTAATGGGGTTGAGACATCCTGGATTGTAGGAAAGCGTCCTGGCTCATTCTGATGCATGCAGGCTGGGGACCAGCTGCCTGATCTGCTTCCCCTCTCTCTCTCACTTGCTCTCTCTATGGGGTTGGGATCTTGTTGTGCTGCCCAGACTGACCTCGTATTTGCAACCTTCCAGTACCAGCCTCCTCCTAGGTTATCTCCTAAGTGGCTGGGTAGCCGTGTACCACTGCACCTGGTTCTCCTCTCTCTTGCCCATGTGTTACACTATCAGGGATGGGAGTCCTTCCAGATCCTTTTCATGCCTGCCCTGGACAAGGTCACCTTCCCTGGCAGTTCCAGCTGTGGTACCAACCCAATCTTGCAAACATAAAATCAAAGCAACAACAGGAGGCTCCTCTCATTCATGGTCCTGTTTAGAGGGAGCAGGGTTCGCAGGTGACCTGTGGTGCAGGTACCTTGAACTTGGCGAGGTGTGGGCTAGGTGCCGGGGGCCTCCCATGTCCATTGCTGGATGGGCTCTCCTGCCAGGGAGCATCTCGAAGCTCCACGCCGGCTGCTGTGTCCCACAGGAATCCTGAGTACCCGGCTCCCTGCAGTGAGAAGGAGACAGAGTGGGTGCTGAGTGTGAGCTCAGCAAGGTGCAGCCTGGAAGGGGGGAAGCAGGAGGATCATATTTCCCAAGATCATTCCCAAAAGTGCCCCACACACTCAGGCTCTTCCCTCTGACTGGACACAGTTACCTTGGGGGTCATCCTATGCCACAAGGCAGCAGCTTGTGTCCCCACTTCCCCTTGTTAGGTGAGGACACTGGTGCTCAGAGAAGCTGAGTAACTTCCCGAAAGCCTGCAGCTGTAAGGGCCACACTGAGACTCATTCAGGGGCCTGCAGAGGGCAGGGTGACTTGCAGATGAGTCAATGGTCACAGTGCATGGGGCCTGACACGCAGAGGTTTCTTTGTTTGCAGGTGCTGGATGAAGGAGTCCAGGGCTCACCATCAGGTGCTCAGGAACTGACCAGGGGCTCTGCAGATGAACAGGCTTCAGCCTGGGTCACAGGTCCTGAGAGTTGTGGGGTGCAGATTTCGGGTTGCTGAGGGCAGTCTGAGAGGCTGCTCTCAAGCCCCCACCTCTGCCACTGGCTCAAGGACAGAGCAGCTTCTCTGCAGCCTGGAGGAGTCCCACACATCTTGGGGGTTGGGGAGTAGGGTCTGTGCACCATCACACAGCCCAGCAGTGCTGCTCCCGGCTCCGCCATGTTGCTGGAGAAGAAATGGCCCTGCACAAGTATCCCCCAGGACAGCTGCCCAAGTCTCCAGTGTCAACTCAGGCCGAAGCTTCTGTGCCCCTGCTAAGGCAAACTGGGTTGAGAGTCACAGATTTGGGTCTCAGTGTTCCCTGCATCAGGGAGCAATGAGCCACCCAGTCTGTCTACACCTCAGGGTCCTGGGTACTGTGAGGTCTGTAGTGCTCTGTCAGCTCCACTGGCTTCTTTCTCTTGTTTCTGTGTCCCATGCAGCAGGGCCAGGGCCACCTTTCTTGCTCAGGGCCCAGGGCACCTTCTGCCTGAAAACTGTTTCGGCTCCCTAGTGCCACCTTTCTTCTCATGGCCACCTGTCACACCTGCTCCATTGTCCCCAGGGCCTTTGCTGTCCCCCTTCTGTGCACATTGCTCCTTCTGTCATGAGTTTGTAACCTATCTGGGTGCCTTTACCAACTCAGATTCAGGAGTCAAGGTCAAGAGCAGAGGCGCAGAGGCTCAGCTCTAAACACCACGTCCAGGCAGACACAGTCATGGGGCAAACTGCTTCTTCCAAAGTCTGAGTCTCTACTCTCTTCTCTGTAAACTTCTTTAGGCTGCATAGGGGCAGAGAAGGGACCAAAGGACAGGGGGATGTGAGGCCAGCACTTGGGGAGCAGGGTTTGTGCTTTCTTGTGCAGTATGTAGACTGAATATTCTTGGCGGGGGAGTGAATTCTGTTTGGTTCAGTGTTTTAATACACATTTTTATTATTAGTTGTGATCATTAATGCTGATATATCAACTTCACTGGATTAAGAAATGACTAGCAGATTTATAGAGCACACTTCTAGGTATGTGGGGGGTCACGGAGGTGTGACCTTGGGTATTCTGTGCAGTTCCTGCCCTTTCTCTCTGACCCTTACTCTTACTCTGTTCCTGGCCACCACGAACTAAGCAGCCCTGCTCCACCACACCCTTCTGCCACAATGTTCCTGCTTGGAGCCAGCCAACCATGGACTGAATTCCCTGAAACCGTCAGCCAGAACCAGACTTAGGCTGTGGGTATCAGGTCCACATCCCAAGGACAGAAAAGCTGAGCAGTGCACCTGTCCATATGTAAAATTCAGACATGGCCAGACTGGCCTCGGATACTTCGGTGATGATTGCCTGGACCTGGATGCGGTTGCAGCTGATGCGGACAGAGTGTTCAGTCCCAGGTGTGCGTGTCCCACCGGCCTGTGCTGTGCTGAATGAAGCAAGTCCGCACTGCTTGCTCGCTGTCTTCTTAAATCCTGCAGCTCAGAAAGGGCCAATCCTCCGTCACACAGAGGAAGGAACTCAGGCACTGAGGTTTAAGTGGCTGGAACTTGGCTGTCACTGCACTGTGCTGTTCTCCAGTGGCATGAGTCCCTTCCTGGAGCAGGATGATCTATCCTGCCCCCAGCAGGCCGTGAGAGTCGTGGAGGAGGGGCTGGCCGGTGGGCAGGTTTTCTCACCAATGCCCACCTGCACAACACAGAGGGTGCACAGTCACTGTGCAGGAGGGTTTTGTTCGATGGATGCAGGATGTGTGCTGAATGGATGAGTCTGAGCACCCAAGAAGCCTCCCTAAACACACATATCAAGCTCTATTTATAGCATGGCAAAGGTGTGCTGCTATTTCTGTGAGACCCAGTGGAGATGGCCTTGGGCTCAGTCCTAGGCCCAGAAACACCATGCTTGGCTTTACCCCAGCCTGAACACACCCTACTCACTGGCGAGCCACAGTGTCATGCCACAGTGTCAGGCCGAGTGGGGGATTTAAGGAGGAGCTAAGGAAAGGAGAGTCTGATTGTCACTAACAACCAGTGTAGGCTTATTATTGCCAATAATAAAAATGGCTGGTATATATTTATGGGTTTAATAGCTCAGCTGATACACATCAACCACATAAATACAATTCAGATGTGTTTCTAAGCACATTAGGTCCACTATAGATAAAAAGTAACATTTGCATTTAGAGGAAAATTATCTAATGATCCTTTTTGTTGTTTATTTTTTTAAGACAGGATAGTTTACACTAATCTTAAACTCATGATGTAGCCCAGGATGGCCTTGAACTAGAGGCGATTCTGCTGCCTCAGCCTGTACTGGGATTGCAGCCTGCACCACCATTTTGTTTTATTTTTATGATGCTGGGGATTGAAGCCAGAGCCTTGTACATAAAAGACACGTGCTCTGCCACTGAGCTACATCTCTAGCTCAACTGTCTTTTAAAAAAACCTAAAAGTTTGCAGATTTAAACCTGGCATTGAATACAGTATGTAAAAGTGAAAATGTTTGTACGAAGAGCTCCACGCATACCACAGCGCAACACTGATGACAAAAATCCAGGATCCAAATCTGTGGAAAGGTCAACAGAGGATCTCTACGTGCAGTTTCAAGTATGAAAACAAATACTTCAGCTGTGAATTCAAGTGGCGCTGAAGTTTCTAGCCAGTGAGCAGTGGACAGATGTGACAAAGGGATTTTTTATTTTTTTGTTTGGCTTGTCTGTTTTGTTTTGTTGAGACAGGGTCTTGCCCTGTAGCCCAGGCAACCATCCTCCTGCCTCACCCTCCCAAGTGCTGAGATTACAGGCATGCAGCACCATGCCCGGGGCTGTGACAAAGGGATATCAAGGATAAAGGACAGAAATGCCCCTTTGCCCTCTTGGCCTTGACTGAGATTCCTCCTCCCAGGACCCTAAGCTTGCATTTCCGTCTGGGCAGCAGTCCACTTCTGAGCTCAATAGGAAGTAGCACCAGGGCGCCGGAAAGGAAGAGACTGAGAAACTGGGAGGAAACACAGACTTGTGCAAGGACACTAGCACAGGAAAGCGTAAAACACTCTTGCCTGAGGGCAGGGGGAGTCGGCTGAAATATAAGGAAAGCAAAGGCGAGGCTGGACAGCCCAGCGTACCTTCTGGAGCAGACTTGAGGGCTTCTCTGCCACCAGGGAGCGCCAGCACCCCCGGGGGCCCCTCCACTTGCGGATGTTGGGGAGGACTGGCTGGTTCAGCTCCGCACAGAACTGCAAAGACAGAGGCCTGGGGTTAGCGTGTGGGACCCGTACCACCACGGCTCTGGCTCCCAGTGACTGCGGGGCTTCGTGCCTGGGCTCTCGGAGATCAGGCTTCCGCTGTTCCTCAGTGGTCGGAAGAGAAATGAGCAAAGCTAATAAAGCAGAAACCACTTGGGGTTGCTGATCCAGATGATACAACAAACAGCACAATGAAAACACACAATATCTGCCTGTGAAACCCCAAGTCCTCATGGGGACTAGGTCTTTCTGTCCTAAAGGTTCAGAAAGACCAGCCACGACCCCTTCCATCCTGTGAAGCTGGTGGCTCTCAGTCTGGGACCAATCCAGAGGGAAAGAAGAGGATCACATGGCATCGGTCCTCCTCAGGGCTGAGCTTAGAGCACAGGGACAGAAAATGGCCCAGCTCAATCCTCAGCCACATCTGATCACAGAGGGCCACTGTGCCCGTCTGTGTGTACACGGCACTCACGACTTTATGCTTCTAGGTGTTCTGCAACATGATGTGGGAACCAGAAAGAGGCTTTTATCACAGAGGCAGAACAAAATAGCACAAGGTACAAAGGAAAGCAAAACAACCACCCACTCCAGCCTGGGTATAACGGGGCATGCCTGGAATCCTAGCACTCTGGGAAGCTGGGGCCGGCGGATCGAAAGTTCAAGACAAGAAAGGGAAACTCGGCGACTTAGTGAGACCTCGTCTCAAAATAAAATGAAAAATTTAAACAGGGCTCGGATGTTGCTTAGTGCAAAGATCCTGAGTTCAATCGCCATGACCGCAAAATAAAATATTCAGTCTTTTAACGTCACAGAAAAAGGGCAGCTTCTCTAATTCATTCCACTGAATCTGCTCTTTTGAGGGGTCCCCAAGCTTCATTAGATTTGGACTTAGTTTTTTTCTCCCCATAGTGGAGACTGAACTCAGGGTCTTCACACTGAACTATACCCTGGCCCTTTTTAAAAATTTGAGGTAGGATCTAAGTCACTAAGCTGCCCAGGCTGGGAAGGAACTTACGATCCTCCTGCTTCAGGATCCCAGAGTGCTGGGATCACAGATATACACCCTCATGCCTGGTGTGGGCCCAGTTTTTCAGATGCTCTGACATCTAGTGCTGCCCTCCCCAATGGCATTCTTGTGTCCCTCCACGTAGCTTTGAGCACCCCACTATTCCTGTGTGCTCCACAGCAAGGGTCTCCTGCTTTAAACAGCTGCCTTTAACCATGCTTGTTAGTGCCACAGAAACAGCGTGCACCTGTTTCTGGAAGACCCCAAATCCGTAGCACATCTCTGTCTCCTAAGCATCAGGTCATATTCTGACAGCCGCTTTAACATTTCCACTCAAAGGTATCCTTAAACCTCAAACCATCTGGAAGGAACATGTCAATACCCCCAGACCCTTTCCAGGGGAGCTCTGAGTTTAAAAACCCCCATCAGGTGGCCAGCCCAGCAGGTATCTGGGAGCCCTGGCCTCAGGGATGCTGTTAGCCAGGGACTCGAGTCTTCAGGCAGCCAGGCCATCAGGATGGCTCTCTCAGGTGGGAGGCCACTCTCCCAACCCTCTGGAGCCTCAGGTACCTGAGAAGAGGCACATCTCTAATCGTGCCCCAAAGCCACCCCAGCTCAGCCACCCCCTTCCTGGTGTCACAGCTCTAAGAGGAGAGGGGAGGCCCAGATCAAAGGCACCACTGTCCATGCTGGTCACTTTTAGAGGTCATGTTTGGGACTAAGGTAAGGATGACCTGTTGTCAAAGGGTACTTGTTAAAATGCAGATTCTCAGGCCTCTCCTTAGATCTGCTTAGAGACTCGGGCAGGCTAGGTAATCTGCATTTGGTTTTGTGGATGGAGGAAAGACATGACATTTTATTTCATATTTAAAACCTTTTCACCCACTTAATCCTAGAAGCTTTCACCCTGTGGCATCTTAATTGTGCACCTCTGAAGCCTTGCTGTGATTCCCTCTCGAAGCCATAGTTCATATTACTCTTCTCTCCCCAGGACTTCTTAAGTCACAGGGAACAGTTCATTAATAACTCAGGGGACCAGGGATGTAGGTGTTGATGACAGGGAGCTGCCTAGGCCCTAATTTTCACAAGCAGAGTTCAGCAAGGGGTAGGGATTTTCTTCCATTTCTAGGCCTGGAAAAGACACTGCCAGTCTTTTAATGGAGGTGATGTTTACAGTGACAGGGCCCAGATGACCTGAGAAGGGGAACATTTTAGTTCTTTGCTACTCCACACATGGTCTGTGGGAGGTCTTGACCTGCTGCATAGCCTGCATCACTGCAGGTGCCAGGGTTGTTTCTAGCTCCAGAGGCTTCCTGCTGCCCATACTGGTGGGCACCCCCACCTCTGCTGTCCCGGCAGGGCCCCTGGAGGCAGTGCTCTCCTGGCTGTTCTCAGCCCAAGTGCTTTCCAGGACAGTGATGCCCACACAAGGTGTAAGGTCAGGGTGACCAGCTGGTGAATGTGATTAGGAGGGTGAGTCCAGTCTGCCTGGCTGCTGCCTAGCCTCCTGCTGGAGAGGTGGGATGGGGCTGGGTCAGCTCCCCTCCACGCCATCAGCCCTCAAGCTGAATGCTGCCTTAAGGTGTCACATTTAGACCAAGAGGTCCTTACATCTGTTTCACTCAGATCCACAGAAGGAAGAAAAATACTGTCACAAGGGGCCAACTGGTCAGAAAGGCAGGGACAGCGGGGACAGTCTGTGTCACTCGAAAGCCTCCCAGGGAATTCCGACCTGCACAGCCCAAAGACAGTGCCTCACTTCACCTACAATTCTCAAACCCCAGAGGCTCACTTATCACTCACATTCCTCAGAATGAAGCTGGCTCTTTGCGTACAACAGTGGACTGTGGGCGTGGTGACACACGCTTGTGATCCCAGCTACTCAGCAGGCTGAGGCAGGAGGACCATGTGTTCAGCACCAGCTTGGACGACTTAGTGAGGCCCTGTCTCAAATGCCCAGTGGCACAGCACACCGTACTGCTAATTGACCTGATGGGTCCAGGGGCTTCAGCTGAGATCTGTACTTGGAACAAGCCCTTGGAGCAGTGGGAGAAGCCCAGAGAGGCTGGCTGGCTGTCAGCTGGAACAGCCTTCCTCCTGCAGGACCTGCTACTCCCCATTTTAGCTTTCCTGCTTCACACTCTAAGAGCAGTGGACTCCATCTCTTTATTGATAATCCCACATGCTAATGTGTGAAGGGAGCCAGGTCCTAGCCTAGTGTGTGACCACTGTATGCACCCACGGGGTCCCCTTGGAGGGGACACTGCAACCCTGGTCCCTTCTGGCTGTCTGCCCCTGGGTGCTGTGAGGTGAGCAGCCTCCTCTGCCAGGCTCCCCCCACTGTGATGCTCTGCCCAACACGGGCCCAGTGACAGCAGGGTCACCAACCACTTGCCAGGACCTCTGAAGCCATGAGCCCAAATGAACCTTGCGTCCTTCAATGCTCTGACATCTGGTGCCTCCTTCAGTGCTCTGACATTTGGTGTCCTGTTACAGTAATGCAAAAGTTAATGAACACAGTTAGTCACTGAGAAGTCAGAGGTCTCCTGGTCACTAAACTACCCTTGGGTTCACAGACCAGGAGCCAAGGTCCAGATATCTCAAAAGCAATTGAGGACAGGCCCAGGGCACTGGTGCTGACAGCTTCTAGGTCCTGAAGGATGAGAACACTTTGCAAAGGCCCTAGGCTGCAGGGCTTCCAGCATCTTGGTCTGCCCGGAGCAACTAACCTCTTATCTCTATGGTGACAAACAGCTGGAAAACTCGAAAACTGCTTTTGGCTCATGGACCTTTTGGACTTTCTTCTTCTTCTTCTTTTTTTTGTCTTTTTCTTTTTATTTTATCGGTACCAGAGATCAGACTCGCGACTGCCTGCTTGCAAGGCAGGTGCTTATGCCACTGTGCTAAATCCCCAGCCCCTGGACTTTCTTCTTTACACTGACCTCTCCCATGTTCTGAAAAGAATATTCCTCCATTCATCTAGACCTGACTGAGAAAGAAACATACAACAGGGCTGCCTGCTTCATGCAGTGGCTTGTCCGGCCACCAGCAGGCACAGAGGCCCTGATATCCCCTTTCTGGTCAAATTTAAACCAAGCCTGGCTCTGGGTGACCATGCAGCTTACAGGAGACGGCCATTGGGAGGGTCTAGCAGCAAACAGGCACCTTGTCCTGCTTCCGGGAAGGAAGGGTGGGGCCCATCTATGTTCACTTTGCAGCCTTGGGCTCCAGTTCCCAGAAGTAACTGCTTCCCTGGTTGGCGCTGCTCTTGTTTCCTGACTCTGGACGTGACTTCCCTTTGACGAGTTTCCCACATGGTCACTACCAATTTCCTCCGTGTGCTCAGGTGCGGCTCTTAAAAATGCAGTCTATTTTTGTGGATGATAAAGCCCACGTGAGTTTTCCTTATAAAGACCTGTTGTCATAATTGTGTGAGGTCTACAGGGCAAGAGGGCCAAAGGCAGAGAAAACTGTTGTTTAAGAAACATCAGTGGAGGCTCAAATGTGGTGGCGTAGGCCTGTAATCCCAGCACTCTGGGAGGCTGAGGCAAGAAGATTTCAAGTTTGAGTCTAGCTTGGGCAATTCAGCAACTCAGCAAAACCTTTTCACAAAAATAAAAATCAAAAAAGGAGGCTCTAGCTCAGTGCAAGGACCCTGACTTCAGCACCCTCCTCCCCAGTTCTAACAAGAAACAAAAAAGAAATGTTAATGATAAGCAACGGTTTACCCTTGCCTGGATCTTCAAGCACTGAATGTTACAGCTACTGTGAGAAACCAGTGCCCTTCACACCGTGGGTGATGCCAAGGCACAGGTAGATCATTAAAAGATGTCAACGCACTCCTCGAGAAAGCCCAGCCATACTGGAGCCTAATTAAGCCTAAGTATAAACTAACTGGCTCGGCCTTCAAGATCTAGCAAATGTGTGTGTCACGTGCCTTTATAGCATAGGCAGAACATGAAGTTAAGAGTCCTAGGATAGCTGA